ACATTTTTTATATACTATAATTTATACAAGTCTTAAAGTTAAGTTGATCTTTCTGAGAATTTTTGAGATAATTTTTTCTGAGAAAAAACCTTGCACCTTGTTAGGACCTTTTGGATGTGAGTGTAATTTACTTTTTAGCCTGTGAATAAAATCTTTGTTTCCTTTAGTAAATCTGGCGGAATATCAGGCCTAGAAGGCTTCTTAATCTTAAATGTTAATCAAAATTGTGTTTCTTTATGATGAATCGTTTTAATATAGAGTTTTGTCTTTGCTGAGCCTAAATTTTACATTTACGCCTAAGTAAAATTTACATACTGTATAAGACATTACTTTTCCTTTAAAGTCTATAGGTTTCTGGTTGGTATCTGTGAAACACTTTACTTCGTGTTTTAATATTCCTCCATTGTTGTAATATTGAAAGCAAAAACTTTTAGTATGCACCTTAGCCTTCATTGCAATATGTATAATTCCCTTTTGTACCCATGTATTGTAGCCCATTTCTGTAAAATCCCATATTATAAACCAAAAAAATAATAATCCAAAAACGTAATCCAAGTATAAAAAATAAGTGGTATAAATTATAGAATGTTGTGTTACTGTACAAACTTGTACTGCATTGTAGTGATTTCAGCCACACTTAGTAATATTTTTGTGATTTACTGGTTATGAATGTTTTATGGTGTATTTTTATTAAATCCACTCTTCAGTGTTCTTACCCTTAATGGAGCTTCAATTTCAATTTTCTTACATTGCAGGTATTTTGAAGGTGTTGTATTTTTTTTCTAAATCTACCCTAATCTTTCAGTGTTTTCTCCATTAATGTGACTTCAATTTCTCAGATGTCCAAGCATCCTGATGGAGTAGTCCCCCTCTTCTATTGTCTGGATAAGAACACTCATGAATCACAGAATATAAGAATGGTCACAAATAAAAGGAGACAATTGGGTCCATCTAAACTGTTATGTTTGGTTATTAAAATAAACTGGATGTAACTGTCTAATCCAACCATTTCTAGAAAGAAGCCAAGAATAACATGGCTGGATTGATTTTCACAGACACATCTCCAGGTTTCATCTCAAGCAATAAAATTGGAATTGCATATCATTAGTACAATTTCTGTCCTACAACGTACGATAAAGTACAGTACTTCTTAAATTAACCAGATCTGATCAGACTGATCCTCCAAGAGTACTTAGTGACTCTGGGACCAAACCATTTCAGTTTACTGTTGGTAATAACCATCAATTATTGGGATGACAGGTTTCCATTTTATTTTGTACTCATATATGTCCCATTTCCTCAGGTGTAACACTTTCTGAAAAGGTTGAGAATTTTGAGAAAGATTTTTAGATGCCCTTTTAGGTTTTGCTGTCTTCTGCTCAGAGGGTCCCAATAGCAAAACAGTGATGATGCTTTACATTAAGATGATTTGCAAAATGTTAAGCAAAGCACAAGTCCACTTTTGCTTTAGAGCTAACAGAATTCAAGTCCCGAGAAGAGCTGAGCATTAATTAACTCATGAAAATTACAGTTAGTTCAGAACATGCTGACTTTGAACTTGAGGATGCTGAGATGAAAGGCCTGGAGAAACTTGCTTCCTTTATGTGTTACTGTACAGTATATGCAGTACCAGAGATTAGTTTTACACTTGAAAATTAAACCCCTAGTTAATTGTGTTCATAGTTCATAGTTCATCAGTGTACAGATTTTGTAAACTTTATATGTCAGTTTATATAAAATTTAAAAAACTGTTTTGCTCTATACAGTGATTTCAGTAACACAAGACAAATATTATTTTCCCAAAGCGAACATTGCCAAGGAGAAAATGTGAAAATGTGAAATGTAATTTAACAACCCCTTGCAGGGGAATCATGGTGTGCTTAAGCAGTATTAATTAGTGTTTTGTTTTTATCATTCTTTTGTCTTCGGGGTTGAAAGGTTTTTTACTTTTTCTTTCTTTGCCTGGAGCCCCTTAGAGAAGAAAAAAGAATTAAGGCATATTTTTGTTGTATTTGAATTTCTGGATTAATTCCCTGGAGAATCTACTATTTCATACATCTATTAATGTATGAAAGAATAGGAAAATAATACTTTTTGCCACCTCCTTGGGTATTCTTTTCATCCATTCAGAAAATGAATGGTGGAATTCTCTATATTATCGTTTGTTGAAGGAATGATTTCTGACTAAGTAATCAACACTTGGCCTCACCTGGTATCTGCTGAATAGACAAGAAACGATAGAAACATTATCTCTCTTATTATTCATGTAAATTGATCTTATTTGTACTGTATCTTAGTAATAGCATATCAGCAAATGGAAACAGACAATTCTGGCAAAGTTTGCGGTAAACACACTCTGCAATAGAGTGTAAATGTCATTGTACTCACAGTGGTGGAGTTAAGAACTGCCTGTGCCTGTTGCACCAGTTGGGGTTCGGGTTGCTGAAAGCCTAGGTTCTTGCGGTTTAGAGGCCCCATGTCTCTTGTTTATTTGTTAGTTTATAGGCAACCATGATGGTTGTAAACAAACATGTAAGATAATGGAAGCCTTCAACTACTTGTACTGATCATGAAAAAAATGTTTCAGGTGATTGATATGGTTTTTCCATACCTTATGGTGGTCTAGCATAGCCATTTTAGATTTTTTCTGTGATGTATGCCTCATCTGAGATCACTAGAACTAAGCCCTGGAATATGGTTAATTTTTAATGGAGTGTCAGATCTGCAGAATGTAAGTGGTGTCTTACAGTTTTTAATTACACTAGCACCCCTGTAACCTGTTGCAGTTATTTTGCATTTTTGTTAAATTGTTTTATATAGTGCTCCAGTAATAAGGATTAAATTTGAAAAATAGGTAGCACATCTCACCTAACAACTATCGGAAAAATTAGTCAAATTTATCAATTGGAACTGGAACTGGAACTGGAAGAAGCAGATATTCTTACTGCTGTGTTTGGTTTATGTATATGTTTCTTGGTTTTTACAGCCAAAGTGCCTGAGTGCCTTTCTTATACCTGTTCTTTAGCATTCAGTCATAAGCTGCTGAACAGCGTTAAGCTCGCTGTCTCTGCAAAATATTCTAATGGCACATTAACCATCTTCCAGAGACTACACATTTTGTGACTTTTATGTTAAAGCTGTAGCCACCCTTAGTTCATGCATCATTTTGAAATTTCATTTGGAAATCAGATTTCCCTTGTTTTTCCAGTGAACTATATTCATGTGAAGCAGAGCTATTGTATATTGAAAGTAAGTTCTGAATATGTCCCATGTAAAGGGTTTTCAAGTGTTGGATATGATTAGAAGGGAAATAGTGAAAACTAGTTAACAAAGGATAAGATTGTCTGTCTTTACAATCATCTTCAGTCTATACATTGTTAAGGGAAAATTGTCCTCTGATGCTCTAATTTGCACAAATTGCTGCTTATATTTTAAGAAAGCTTATTAATTACCTGGGTTGCAGTGTTACTTCCATTACTGTACATCCGAGAAAAGCTTCTGCTTAAATTGCATTACGATTCATAAAGCTTAGAGACTGCTGGTATGAATCCTGGCTGTGCCACTGTGACAGGCTGCCCAGAATGCTCTGCCACTGAATTTTCATAGAAGTTGTGGGGGTGGGATGAGTGAGTCAGACGGGTCATCTTCAACTGGTCTCTCAGCAAACTTAAATGTGTTACTGGAGGTTTAAATAGGGAGTGGGACCTGTTCTCCAACTGGAGCATGAATAAGAGCCTTGATTTTGTATCTTAAAGGGCAAAATGTGTGCAAATCCATACAGATAAATCTGTCAAAATAAGATCATATGTAAAGATGTACTGTATACAGACTATTCGGCAATCTCTTGGTAGCTCTGAGATGCAGATCAGTGAGTGACTTTTTTCCCATTTTAAGAGGAAACCACAGACAGTGCAAATACATGCTGCTTTACCATCCAACCATCCACGCTTTATTAGAAAGTGACTTCATCCTAATAAGGATCAGAATCATAAGATCCAAGGCCTCACCACGGATGGAATGACACGGTGACTTACACAGACCAGCAGGACAACATGCTTACTCCACAAATAGGATGGGAGTCTGGAATCATTCTGCTTCTCTGATTTTTCTATTAACATAATTAGAAATTTCCTAGGATATTTATTGCCATGTCATTTTCTGTATACGTAAACATATATACAAAATAACAAGGTGACAGTTTGTAGGTGACAGGTGACAGGAAAATTATACTCCCTAAGTAGAGGAGCTCAGATGTTCCCTACGATGATTACAGGGCCAGCATCTGATGGATTGTTATTTACATGAAGAGCCTATTAAGTATGATTGAAAAATCTGACAGGCAGACAGTGCCTCTCAGAAGGAAGAAGGTGGATCATGGAGAGCATGTGACTTCCCCACAATGGCATTCCTTTTATACTGCAGAAGCAGAATGTTCTATTGGATATTATCAGATGCAAAAAGAAATCTAAATGTCCTTTCTTAGAAATTTCTCTTTCAGTGCCATTCAAAATTCACAATTTTTTTTGCAGATAACAGTGTGTACTAAATTATTATCTTGGTCAGGTACAGTATCTTCAGAGAAAGTTATATCTTTTAGTTACAGTTTAAAAAGTTGGCAGAGCCGGTGAGATTACCATATGAAGTATACTTACACCTACAGATAACAGCCAATGTGAATATGGTTAATTACAAATACCAATGGCCACAATTAGGCATGTTCAGTGACCATAATTGATACAGTAATTTGTTTTTTCAGTGCAAAGTTTATAGCAATTATATGGGTCAATTCCATTCAACTTTCATCCAACTGACAACACAAAATTATAATGTCTGTTGTTATGTTCTGTGAAATTGGCTAACACAAACTGCAATTTACAAGGCTTAAGTTTGGTGCTATTTTTTTTTAACAGCTGCAACTTAATGTTAACAGGTTCAAGACTAAATAAAAGCCTAACTGTTATGAGAGATGGTTTCTAATCATAGCTTTTTTCTTCTTCCAGGTACTACAGTGCTACAATCCTCCAGATGTCAGGGGTAAAGGATGATAAAATGGCAATCTGGCTGTCGGCAGTTACTGCCTTCACAAACTTCATTTTCACTCTGTTTGGCGTTTGGTTAGTGGAAAAAGTAGGCCGTCGAAAGTTGACTTTGGGTAGTTTAACAGGTAAGGCATCAACAAATGAAAATGTTAAAAAACTACGGTATTTATGGCAACTGCATTATACAATTAAAATAAAAATCTTTCCACACTTTCTGATATAGGCATATGGGCAGAAACAAACTTGTGTCATTGTGCAGGGGTGTCTAAGCATGAAGAACACAAGGTGGAGATTTGATGAGAACAGGTCATTTGGCCTGTGTTGCTTATCTGAGTTAAATGATCCAAGAAACCTTCTTGAATCCTTGAATTTGAATCTCCTTGAAAGCTTTCAATGACTCAGCAATGATCACATAACTTGTCAGTTTGTTCCATATACTTACAATCCTTCTAATGTAAAACGGTGCCATCTGTTCTTACTAGCTAATTTGCTTGCTTTAAGTCCTCTGATCTCTCTAATCTGAACATGAAGAAAAGATATGGTGTTATTCTATCAACTGACTTTATCCAAATTGTCAGAGATTAAATACAACATCTTGGTTTCAAGTCAACCCAAACATGATATACTGTATGATATATAAGATAAAGATAAATAATAAAATATAAAATTTAATATGGGTTGCCTTTTTCTGCATAATTTCCAATGGTGAAATAATGTTTTTAAAGGTTTCCAGAAGTGAAGATGAACAAATTCCAACGCATTTTACAGTTTTTGCTTTATGTCTCTTATTTCCACTCTTGTTTTGAGACTACAGTGGAAAGTAAGGTAGTATTCAGTATTTGATAACGGTCATTTCAACACAAGTTTAAGGCCACTTAACTCATTTGTCTCATACATTATTTTATAGATCAACAAATAATCTATTTATATTTTAAATTTCTGACCCATTAGTGATACTTGGCGTTTATCAATGTTGCGGTGACAGTGTGAGCTACGACTTGTAATTGTGTGGCATCTGTTAATTTCAGAAGATACAGTAGCTAATTATTGTATATTAGAGTCTTTGTCATTTTTGTAGATAAGAAAGAGAAACAGTCATGCTTAACACTCCTCTTCTGCTTAAAGAAAATGTAGCCTAGATCTCTTCTTTGCATTTTTTTTACACCATATCTATTGGCTGCATTGTCAAATATGTAATATGGGATCTTCAAATGGTCACGTTGAAAAAAACCTCCTTTTTCTATACTCATGATACTAATTTCCTGCGGTGTATTTTCATATAGTTTTGTTTATGTCTATATTATGTTACTATGTTCTGATATATTTATTCCATCAGAGATTAATATTACTGCATTACCATGATATACAGTACAGTATGTTAGTCTTGTTTTCAAAATTGATAAAAGACCATTTTTACCTCTGATGTTAAATCACTGTAATTAAAGCACTTCCTTTACCTCATTTAGAAGTCTTTGGTAAAAAAAAAATACCTTGCTATGTTATTCTTATTTCAGTCATTATTTAGTTTTGTTTTTATCTTTTGAATCTTTATAGTTTTTAAGTATACAATATACTGTATAACTTGGTACAAAAATGAATTATATTCTAAGTAGCGCAAACTGTAATTGACTTCTTTGCCCAGATTTTCTGATTTATAGATCAGTTAAAAAAAACAAACAAAACCTGAATAATATATTTAAAAAATAAAACCAAAAAACATCCTTGACTTAATTTTAATCCAGCATGGAACTGTGATGTGTGGAATAGTGTGAGGATTTAATTCTCTGTAACTGAAAGACATGCAGAATCAAAAGTATAAAAGCAAATAAGACGTACTCACAAAGTAAAGCTTCCGGGAAGATTTAAGTGCACGAAAGGGGTACAGTATATTAACATCTTTCAAGAGCATGGTTGTTAGTGATATGAGCCAGAAAATTGTAGGTCAAGACATCAAGACTAGCTCAGCAGGAGAAGACTTAGTAAATAATTAGTCTCAAGACAAGTTAGCAGGACAAGCCTATTTTGATCATTCACAGATGCTGCGTTAGCTTCAGGACTACAATTCCCAGAAAATCCACTGGGAGACTTCCTGATGGTCATGAGTCAGGCATCCCTACGGTGCCAGCTGTGGTGACATCCTGTAGGTCTCTCACAGTGCTTCACCGTTGCTGGTCTGTTGTCACTGGTATGAGCACAAGCAATTCGCACAGGATCCCCTTTTTCTAAAAGTTTATTTTCTAAAAAATGAGAAAAAAACAGGGAAGGGTTTCTGGAGCTATTCCCAGGACAGGAGTACTACAGCTGGTAGCAGGGATCTAACTGCCAGCCTGCATGAGTGCACAACTCCTGACTCCTTGCCATCTTGTCACCAGGTTAGACAGAGAAATGATGGAACCTCAGTTTTGACCAATTTTGTACTCTCTAAATTGCTTTATATTGTTCTGCTGTTTGACTTTGTTTCAAGCAGCAATTTAGCTCTTTGCATTGTTGTTTTTGGAGGGTCCCTAATATTAATCCCATACTTTGAGGCTTGATAGATCATATGTTTGCTCTTCTTTAATTATCTTAATTTGCTTTATTAATATAGTGTTTATATTAAGGTTTATCAATGACATTTTTTATGTCCATCAGGTCGACTTGTAATCTTCTGTCTTTTCTTGTAGGTACCAGCCTGAGTCTTCTGGTCCTGGCAATTGGATTTTTACTCTCTGCGCAGCATTCACCTCCTGTGATCCTGCACCCAACAGACCCCTCTACTCCCAACTCAACTTGCTCTCAATATGGGTAGGATGTCTGGCTATTACTAGATCTCTTAAATCGGAATGCAGTCCAACATGTACACAGTCCAAAATAAATTGATTTACTTGTTTGATTAATGGTAATGAATCCAGGATTCTTATTGTTCAGGTTTTGCACATATCTGTGGTACAGGTGAAAAGTTAATCAAAAATACCTTTCAGAACAATGAGCAAGTAAATAGGATTTCTGATTACTTCGCTTCCTATCTATAGCAAAAATATGAACTATCTTAGGCAGTTAGGCAGTGCTTAGGCAGTTTTCTGTTTTCTTGTAGAGACATCTTGCATCACGGAATCTTCATATCTAATGGATATAAAAAATGTATTTACAGATGCAAAGGATAACAGATGATCAGTGACCTCATGCATCTAACTTCGTCACAATGTCTTGCTTTTGGCTCCTGTCCATGACATTTGTCAAGGTGTGGCTAGAAGGTGTAATCTGAAAAATAAACAAGTGCAACAATAACACACTTGTAATTCAACGTGTGATTGTCTTAAACTAAAGTTATGAAAAAAACTTAGAAATATGTTTACATTTTCAGACATTGTTTTGGTCTTCTTTTGCAAAATCATGTCATATTTTACAGCAATCATACAGTAATTTAATAGTAATGCAATTTATTTTTATCAAAGTCCATAAAAATGACTCAATTCTTACTTTACTAATGTAATGCTTATATCTTCACTCTAATACAACATTTTATAGCCTTGGTTTCCTTTGAACTCGTCTTCTTTATTCTTGTAATCTACGAGTGCGGTGCATCGGTGCACCAGTTAGCACAGAGAGCGACTCAAAAGGCTGATACATTAACATGTAATTTCTGACTTTTACATTTATTCCGAGTATCATTATGCAGCATTAGATTTTGTTTTCAGGGAAAGAAGCATTCCATACATTTGCCAAAAGGCCCTTTCAGATTTATGGGAAGCCTATTCATCATAACTGCAAAAGAAGAAATGCACTGTTCAGCTTAACAGTACAGCAGGAATCTTCAGTGGACCCAAAAGCAGACCTTGCATTTTTATTTTGATCATTGGATTTTAATTAGAGATCATTAGCTCAGTGGCCTTTTGGTACAATAGACATGACCTATTAAAATAGGATTTTGCCTTTTCTGCATTCTTATTTTAGTTTTATGTGGAGTTTGTAAAGAAAACCCATATACTTTATCTCATTAAAAGATTAAAAGACTATTAGAAAAGCCATTTGTTTGCACAGATGTAAATCGGGATATACTGTTATTCATCATAATAAAATCTATACAGAATTCCTACAACCCTCCAATCATATGAATATGGGTTGATATTGCTTGAGCAATACAAAATTAAGTTTTGACTCGTGATTCATACTGAACAAAAAACTACAACATGATCAAAGATGCACCCACAATTGAAATAACATGAGCTGAAGGATTCATAAATTTCTTGTGCCTACTTCTGAAATGGAGGAAAATTGGATAATGTGAATGTTATTTGTAGATAATGTGTATTTGGACTTTTATACTTTAAAATACTGGTTTCAAGAAGTTTCAGTTTTCGAAATGAAGTAACATTGCAGGTTGTGGGGAAAGGCTTGCTGTCCTAAAACAACCTTAAAATTAAAGAAAATTATATTTTTGTTAACATGTAAACAATGATAAAAGTGTAACAGCAATATTCTAAAACTAGTGCTTTTATTATGAATGTTGTGTGTTTTTCTTCATCACTGTAACAATTAGGTTTTAAAATTCTAAACAGAACAGCTAACATGCTTTTAAAATGTTCCTTATGAAAATTTTTAAAGAAATACAGTACAACATAAACCTCTTAGTCTTGGATCTGTAAATATATCTAAAATCAACAGTATGGTACATAAGCCTATTTTAAACTATTCAGATATCTTGAACACTAAGCAAACAAATTATCTTTCATATTTTAGCAAATTCCATCTGGTTTACAGATCAAGCCATTCAAAATGAGTGAGGTACGCTGCGTTAAATAACGATGGACGTGGCGCAATATACCGCATGTTTTTTTACAAGCACCCTGTGACACTGCTGGGTGGAGCTAATAAAGCTTAACCTCTCATGTACAGCATTTGAGCTGTCACCAGAAAATGCCTGGTTTAGAATCCCGGTCACTGCTGAGGGACAAGCTTTATTCAATTAAGAATTTAAGTTGTATACTTTTAATAATATTAAACTGTGTATTACAGCATGTCAAACATGAAACATTAAAAAGTCGGTTTATTTTATAAAAGCAAAATTGCTCAGTTGGACAAAAGTACACAATCTTCCACCTACATCATAAATAATTTAATTATGCATACATATTTTATGCAGCCAAGTCTTTAACTTGGTAACTTACAGTGAGTTCTGGTTTTAATGTGCTTGTTCTAACATTATTAAGCTTATATTCTGTACTTCATAAAAAGTTATAACATTTTATCCTTTTCTAAGAATACATAGTAAGAACACCACTTGCTGTTATTGTAAAAAGATAAATGTAGTGATTTAACTTCACTAGATAGTTATATTAATATGGAATCATGTAACTAAACAGCTAAAGTATCACAAGTGAACGTTTTGGAAACATTTTGACATTCGTTTCACTCTCATACTTTTTGTTTAGGGGAACATTTAAAAAACCAATACTCAGAGAGGTTCAGATATAGAACATGGAAGTGCTCTGTTGACACCTCAGCTAGGGCTAGGGTTAGTATTCATACACTATTTAGGCAATTTTTAAGCTCAGCGCTGGATTTTGGGGCCAAGTCAGGTTTAAGACGAGTGATTTTTTGTTCTTATCTGAATTTTTTTTCGGAAACCCTCTGTGGCCTGGATGGCGCAGTGCACCGCGTGGTTATTGTATCCCAAAACTGAGTCAGTCGGATCAAAAGTTCTAACCAAGCATTATTGAATCTAATTCATTTGCAAGAGCTTTCATCGATGGTTTTGATTTTTCCCACTCATACTTTTTGGCTTGGGGAACATGTCATAATCCGATGCCCAGAGAGGTTCAGATATAGATTGCAGAAATGCAATAGAGTTAGGGTTAGCATTCACACACTACTTAGACAATTTTTAATCTCAGAGCTTGATTTTGGGGCCCACATCAGGTTTAGGACGAGTGATTTCTTGCAGAATTTTTTTTTTCAGAAACTCTCTGGGACATGGACAGCCCAGTGCACCACGTAGTATTTGTATCCCAAAACTGAGTCGGTCGGATCCAAATTTGTAACCAAGCATTATTGAATGTCATTCACTTGCACAAGCTTTCATCGATGGTTTTGATTTTTCCCACTCATACCTTTTGGTTGGGGGAACATGTCATAATCCGATGCCTAGAGAGGTTCATATATAGATCGCGTAAATGATCAGTTGACACCCCAGCTAGGGTTAGGATTAACATTCACAAACTACTTTTAAAAGTAGAATTTATAAGATCAGCGCTGGTTTTTGGGGCCCAAATCAGGTTTAGGACAAGTGATTTCTTGCTCCTATCTGACTTTTTTTTTTTCTGGAAACTCTCTGGGACCTGGATGACACAGTGCACTGTGCAGTTATTGTATCCCAAAACTGAGTCTGTCGGATCAAAAGTTGTAACCAAGTATTATTGAATGTAATATATTTGCAAGAGCTTTTATCAATGGTTTTGATTGCTTCCCATTCATACTTTTTGGTTTGGGAATATGTCAAAATCCGATGCCGAGAGGTTCAGATATAGATGAAACATGGATGGCGCGGTGCATAGTCGGTCAGATCAAAAGTTGTAACCAAACATTACAGAATCTAATACAGTAGATTCTGTTTTGGAGAAATTGTGGTTTTAGAATATGTAATCATGTCATTGTCTTAAATATTGAACCCTGGAAGTTTCTTGAAAAACACTTTTTGATATTGCATGTTTCAAAGTACAGTAGTTAGGGTTTAATACCAGTGGCATGCTGCAGAGGGCTCACAGTTCTACAATAACGTGTGGATTATTTCCTGTGACTAGGTTCTGTGACAGCTGTATGCTGGACCCAGGCTGTGGGTTTTGTTACCAGGAGAACAGTTCCTCCATTTTTGCCTCTTCCTGTGTTCCTGTCAATAAAGCCTCCACTGAAGAAGCCGAATGGGGCAGGTAAGAAGAAGATATAGCAGTTGTGGTTGTATCACGAGTCTCAGGTTTATATTACACCCACTTCAAAATTGGGATTAGCATACAGTACATGTAGTTACTGTATATGAGGTTACTTAATCAAAATAAGCCTGGGCTTTTCAATGCATGAGATGATGTCCCTGGGTATTTTGGGACATCTGAAAAATAATTCAGTTTCTTGAAAAAGTCTGCCTTAGAAAAATTTCATTTGGAGGAGTTTAGAAAATAAACATTTTTCATTAAATGATTTCCAACTGTTTATCTGAAATAGCTAAATCAATGCAGTTATTCTAGATAAGTAGCTTTTAAAAATGTGTGCATAGTATTATGTAAAAACACAACATAAAATCCAATACAGTATATCGCTTCAGCTAATATACTCTAAGTAATTGATAATACAAGCAAAAAGTTATTTCTGCCTGTCTCTAAATGGAACAATATTTATGTTTGAAACTGTTCATTAATCGCTGGTTGTGTTATTTATGTTCTAATAGAGATTACAATGTTTTGATAATTCAATTAATTCAAACATGATTGTTATCATCTCTAGATATGTGCAATGTGTGGTAGTTGATAAAATAATTGCTTAGCTAATAGTGTGTAAATTAGTTATGTTAACGGTCTGAAAATGATAATAAATCTATGCAGTTTTATGAAGGATTATTTTGGTGGAATATGTGTTGTAAATCGTGGAAATATCAATGCACACAACTTTTTTTTTAAAAACTGGAACAATTCCAATGAATTTTGTTACATTAAGATTTAATCAGTATAATATGCCATTGATATTTGTAGGCTTTAGGATTTTTGTCAACAACAATGCGCAAAAGCTTTAGCCTACATCTTACCAATATGTAAGCACTTATACAGTATGTTTTTTCTGAAAATCAGATCTGAAATGTTTTGGTTTTCTTTAGGTGCTCAAATGCAACAGTGATGAAAGAAGGAATATTTTGGGCTTACAATTACTGCCCCACACCCTATTCCTGGACTGCACTTCTGGGCCTTATTTTATACCTGATGTGTTTTGCACCTGGTAAGATTTCAAATCAATGATTCATTTATTATTTTAAATTCTCTTACTTTCTACTTTATTTAATTTTCTACTAATTTTATCATGCTTTTCTTAGGAATGGGACCAATGCCTTGGACAGTGAACTCAGAAATCTATCCTCTGTGGGCCAGGAGCACAGGGAATGCCTGTTCAGCAGGGGTGAATTGGACGTTTAATGTGCTGGTGTCGCTGACATTCCTTCATGTGGCTCAATACCTCACCTATTACGGTAAGAGTTTTTTAAATTAATAGTGACTTGATAAGCAAACATGATGAAAATGTTTAATGGTTTAGTAATGATGGAATACTGAAAATGAGTCAGCCTTGTATTGAAACTCTTGAAATCAAAAATATATACATAAAAATATATATTATAGAATTTTAAAATTCCATAACAAACTTTATTTTAAGTCAAGAAATACATTGCCCATTAGTTGTTACAAACCAAAAAATAGACTAAATTGTATTTTTGAGAGAGCATATTTATTTTTATTTTATTTTAAATTATTAATCTAATTTTAAGATTGGTAATCTCCAATTTATTATTTTTACTGTCTCTCCCTCCACACATTTACAGTTAATTGCATTATATACAGTAGCACCTTTTATCCCAAAGGATGGCAGATTGCTTTATGCACAGGAGAGGACCAATTTTAATTCACTATGTGTAGCATCCAGCTGAGCGACACACAGTAGCCATTCCACCATCAGCCCTACTGCAGAGAAGAACAGGCAGAGAATTGCAAAATTGCTTCACCAATTGAATTAAGGGGGAACTTTATTTAGGCAGGCAGAGAGCACAAACCCATAGTGGAACTTAGCTAGGACACAGGGGTCAACACCTTCACTCTTACAAATGGTACTATGGGATTTTTCATGACCAAGTAGTCAGGACCTCTGTTTAACATTTTATTCTTCTACTGCACTAAATGTCCCTGCTCACCTTACTGGGGTATTGGTTTGGAAATTTACTAACAACACTTACAGTGGCAATCTTTAAGGTCTCCCATTTCAGTTTTGACCAGGCCGAGGCTTGCTTATCTTCTGAGCTCAGCTAAGGTTAGTCTAGAAGGCAGTGATGGTGCTGTCAGTTTCACAGTTCTAAATTGTTAATCCATAATTATTGAAGTAACCTCTTCAATCCTCAGACTAGCTTGGGACTGATGAGAACTGTGCCTGCTTTCCTTGAAAACTGTCAGTTTTCCCATATTTCATACTGTAAGTTCCACTATGACCACAAGAGACTTAGCAGTAATTGATGACTGATTGAGGATCGGTGTGGCACTCTTTGACATTGTGTTAAGTGGACAGGAGCATTATTTTCCTCTTGAAGGGACGCTACTCCTTACCATATCTATTAATATAAGTGTCTGTTTGTACAGATGTGTGGACTGGAGCTGGTAGGAGTAAAGTACTTTGCTGGAGAATACAACAGCAGTGTTCAGAGAAGGGCATGAATAGAACCACCCAGCCATGAATCCAGAGCCCTAACCATTACTCTGCCCTGTTCCCCTCCACTGTAGTGGTACTATACTTCAGTAATTGTGAGCCACATCTTGGCAAACTGTAATGGTATTCCAATGAGGTATCCCAGATTCAAGGCCTTCAAATTTAACCTACTCTCCAAAAAACTGCCTTCACTGACTGAACACCTGTTAGCTTTTGTGTTTTATTTTTATTCCATAAATCAATGAGGTAGTTATTTTGTATACAAAGGACTTATTTTGATTTTTGTTATTGCATGTCTGGTGCCACAGGTAAATGTCTCCCTTATCCTCCACTCTGCACCTAGATGAAGGTGACTTAGCAAGGGCATTTCTTACTTCACCCAGGAACATGGAGAACGATTTACTGTATTAGTACAGAAGCACTTGAAATAATACTAAACAGATGAGCTGTACCACAAATGTACAAAAAATATCACTTTAATGAATTAACTATATTCAATACCTTTGCAAAGTTACATTTAGTTGACATCAAAACCATTGCTGTTGTGTATGTTACCAAGTCAAATCCTTTGTTTCCATGTTAAATTATGTTTTGTCATTGTTTTTCAGGTGCATTCTTTCTTTATTCAGGACTTGCAACTGTAGGATTTCTCTTTGTCTTTGGTTGCCTTCCAGAGACAAAAGGAAGACGACTAGAGGAAATTGAATCATTATTTGAAAACCAGTTATGTACATGTGGGGCTTCAGATTCTGATGAAGGTAGACACATTGAATATATTAGGGTAAAAGGAAGCAATTACCATCTTTCTGACAATGATGCCTCTGATGTAGAATAATAATTTATGCTACTGCCTAGTCATTTAGTAATTTAAAGGCCTTCTGGGGATGAGCAGTTATTGGTGACCTCACTACCCTGCTTCTGGTCTGTTTCAGAATTGTGTTATCTTCATTAATATTCCAGTGTACTCTCATATTTGATGAAAAAATATGTTCATTAAACCTATTGAGCTCTACTTCCGCCAGACAATCCAAGGCATTATTTACATCTTAATTTTCTCCTTTCTCTGTAATGAACCATTCCATGCAACATAATCATTTAGCTTTATCAGATTTATCCTTTTAATTAATAGATGACAAGATTAGACCATAATTTCCTCGTTCTCATAAATGACACACAATATTATGAGTGACATACTGTAGGATTAAAACAACTAAACCTAAGAATTAAAAAAAAACAAGCCTAGACTTTAGAAGAAAATATTTTTCACAAAGCAATTTAAGTTAGGTGTCTCAACGCCTTATCGCACCTGTACTGTATGTTGAAGTATAGTTTACTTCTGTAATTGAGAACAAAGCACTTTTTGATTTTGAGAAATACAGCTGAATGTTCTGAAATAGGCCATATAATGCTGTGCTTTACTTAACATGTCTTTACAATCTCTGACTTGTCAAATGACTCTCAGAATTTTGCTGTATATAATGTATTAGTTATATTTCCGTGGTTTCTCTAATTGGTGGTGGTGTACTTATTCCTAACATAATAATACTTGGTATAATTTACTATCTAAAAATTTGTACAATATCAGAATTGTGCCATGTAAAGTGTTAGAACTGGTTCCAATTACTGTACCTTTGCTGCATCCTTATTGTTTATATTTTTAAGCAGAACATATGTTTTGTATACATTTTTAGTATAAAGTATAACATTTATACTATTTAGTATAAATAGTTCAGTGTTATAAAGATGATACTTGATACATTAATTTAAACATAATGCATGTTATTAAGTTTTTGTGGGTAAAGTGCCTTGTTTCAGATGCAGCCTTTAAGAATATAAAATCAGTAAATTATTATTACTAGTATTATGGAATGTATGAATACACTCCTAAAATCCACAGTATTGAATTTTGTAGTTTCACAAGATTACGGGTCAGTTATACACAGAGAGGAGAACACGGGACCTGAAAATGAAATTGCATATATTTGTGTAAGTATTTAAGTGTGTATTAAAAAACTCTTCAGTACCTGTATAACATTGATGGGTAAAAAAAATTGTAATTGAAAACATTCTTTAATTCATTAAACAGCTTTTTTTAAAAAACAATTAGTATAGGGATTCTTCCTTGTCAGTACAATATTTACATTTGCTTCTTACAAAAGTTGTTATAACTCTATTTTAGTATTCAATTTGGTCTAAAACCCAGTATGAAATGCAACCACATATACTGTAGCTTTATAATTAGGAAGATTACAATTCTTTATGAGGATTCCCTTTATAAATCACAAGAATTAATCTTAATTCAGAGTGAATATTCCTTTTTATGTTGCCTTGTTTAAATCATAATTGGATATGCTTTCATGCTACACACTATGTCTTACCATCATCAGTTTATTTTACATATTACATTTTTTTCCACTTCAGTTGAGATTTTTTTCATGTTTTTCAGCTTTAATATTTGCATAATTGCACCTAACCAAGAAGATGAGTGAATTACCAGAAATATTATTCTCCAGACCAGAAGCAGAGGGTATTTTTGTACACAACATATTTTATTTTATCTTACTTTTAATTTCAGGTAAAATGTTTACAGTTGTTGCATATGAAATGTCATACCAATTTTCTTTTAATAAAAAGGTAGTTGTACATTTTTTGGAGCTTTTTTTGTCTTCCTCTGTAGCCTTGTGTACAAATAAATTGCATATCTTACCTTAAATGGCAGAGTGGGATAAATGTGTTATACTGTAAATGTAAAAAATAATGTACTTTGAAAATGTTTTAATACATGGTAGTAAACACAAATGGTCTATTTTAGGTGGTATAATAATGTAAACACACCTCTATAGCCAGTCATCCATAGTTTAGAGTCCAGCTGACTGTAGTCAGTTTTTGAGGTGATTGAAAACAAGTTGTGCGTTATCTGTGACAACAGCAAATGACTTCTAACAGTATCAAGAGTCTCTTCAGTAGTGTACGTTTCTACTTTAACATCACTGCTATTTAAAGTAATACAAGTTAATACTGTTTTGTGACAAATTATATGTTTACCCAAGACCTGATGTATTACATGTTTTGTCAAGATTTCTGTTTAATACTATAATTCAGTCTAGAAACTGTAAAATTGCAGAACTGTTTAATGATGATTTTGAAATATGTTGTATACTTCATTTTTAAAGTTAATGTAGGCTTGGTTATGGGGGATTCACTTCATGTTCATTAACTGTATTTGCAAAAGAAAATTCTGCTGTGGGTTGTCTAGTTACAGGAAAATTAAAAAATTATTAAGGAAAAATAATGTTTTGATTCATGAAAAAAAATAATATATTTGTTATCACACCAAACCAGGTAGTATTGCATCAGTTTTTCTTTCCACAAATCAGATAAGCTTTATTAATAGGTCTTTTAATGTGCAAAACATTATCACCTATTAAGACAACATACCTGTACAAATTAAAATGTTGAGTTTATCTGATATGACATGTCGTATGTCAAATTTATTTTCTTTAAATTCAACATAAAATTAGTATTTATATCTGGTATTTGACTGCAGTGTTGCTAAACATAACACTTCCAGCTCTTGGCAAGCCAGGTTTTATTCTTTGTCTTTGCTTTAACCACCAGGCAGGGCCTCTTGAGTAATTTATAGTGGATAGGTGCAATTTTCCTATGTGAAACAATCGTAATTGATAAAAAAAAATGTTTATACAGTTTATGAAATATAAGAGTGGAACAATACTTATGAATTTCGTGCTGTATAGTTTAATTGGTTATTGTTGCTGTAAAATGTTTTATTAGAGTTTATCTTTATATAAATCTACATATATTCATGAACTTTTATCACTGTAAATGGACTAAATAAAGTTAATTATATAGCAATGTTTGGTGTGTTTTTTTTTCGTAAGAGGTGGAAGTTCTAACAAATATATTGGTGTATATTAATCAATTATTCATATTTAAGTTTTCTGGTGTTGATGTATCTATATTTTAAAGTAAGCAAATAGTTTACTCTAAAAACACTATTACAGGTATTATGAAATATAAACATAAAATTTTACTGAATCTTTTTATGTCCTAACATTAACAAAATGTCTGCAATTTCATGCAGTGTCTTCGTCTCTTCTGAATTCCTTTTGACTGTGCTTTCATATTCTTTATCCTTACTGTAATTGCCATTCATATCCACAAAACTGTCACTTTGATTTTCATCGTACAAAGTTTGGCAAATTGGTATTGCTCCAATTCTACAGGTTTTCAAGTTGAGCTCATCTCTTGTTGACCCTGTTAAAAAACCATAACATTTTATAAATTACTATGCAACTTGTGATTTTTTAATTATATTTTGTCTTCAAATGTTTGTGATACAGTAGACACATAAGGATACAGTAAGTGTTAAAATAACTCATGAAACTATATGATAAACAATAAATGTTTAGATATATTCCAGGAATCCTATTTAGTTGGAAGTCATAATAGATCAGATGTATGTGAGAGTTAAAGCAGTTCATTGAAAAATCCTAATTTAATCTATAATTATTTTATGCATACAGTATTGTACAATGGTATGATTTTGGGTGGGATCGTTGCTCTTTTGGCAATTGTAAATCAACCTTGAATTCAAATGTGCATAAAAATATACAAAATGAATTAATGTATTGAATAGGTTAGTCCATCACAGCTAGATTCAAATGGAAGGGTACAGTATTAATGTAATTTGAAAATCATAGCTGTCTCATGGACATTTTTAACTAAGTAGCAAGTCAATTGAGAACACATTTTCATCATGGTGGCATACACAGCAGGACATTTATGGAACAATCTGAGTAAATTACCTTGCTCAAGGGACTCAGGATATGAACCCACAACCCTCAACTCAAGATTTACTACACACTGCTTCAGTAGCGATATTATGTATGTACAGTATTTTACTGTATGTATACTTTAAAATATATTTGTTTTACTAATTTAGCTTTCAATAGATCATTCTGGTTAGATGTATTTTTCTTCTATCATTACCATTAAAATGTCTCATGTTGGTGGAGACATGCAGCTGGATGCTCTTGGGATCTGTAGATACACTGCATTTCAGACTTTCAAAAATATCATGTTTTGATTTGCAGTTGGTTTCATTTAAACCAGTTAAACTCTTGGTTTCCTTTAAATTGGCTGAAATCTCTTCTGAAGCAGTCGTGTCATTTTGCTGTTCTTTCACTGTCAGATTTTTTAAGGTGATATATTCCATTTCAGTATGGACATTTAAGTTAGATGAATCTGACATGGAGTCCATGATCTCATTCTCTGAACTAGTCTGCCCTCTGTTGGTTATTTTTAGTTTTTCAGTAATTGAATTTGATTCCGAAGCAAATCCACAGGCTTCACACAATTTTCCAAGATTGCACTGTGTTGCAGAGTCCAATTTTTCAACATTAAAAATACTGTCAGTCTGAGTTCCAACTTCCCTAATGTAGGAAACATGTTTTTTCTCAGTTAACCTAAAGCCATCTGGTGACTTAAACCTGGATTTCAGTGGCAATTGTACATTTTGACATTCCACATTCTTCCTGTCTGGATTTTCTTCATTTCTGTTGTGGTCACCTGTTTCATTAGCCTTTGAACACAAAAGTATTCCATTGTGTTTTTGTGTAAAGAGTGCTTCAGGCACAGGTCCATTGACTTGTAAGTTATTACAGTCTTCTTCTGACTGAAAAGATTTAAAAAAGTAATTATTAAATTAGTTAAAACATGGCCAGTTCATGTTTCATAATCATTTTATAACAGACAACCATTCTTAGATTTCTATTTTGTGAACCTATATATTTGGTCCTAAAATACCCCATAAGTTTGCATTAGTCAAATACACCCATTCCCTGGGTTAAATAAGGATTCCATTCCACAAGTCTTTATGTACTCCCAATTTTTAAATAATTAAGCTTGTGTGATTGAGTAGATTCAGACATGCAATGTTTTATAAGAACATTAGTGGATGAGAAGCACATATAATGTGGGTGATAGACACAGGTCAGTGAACAGGTGGCACCACTGGCAGTAAGTGGGACTAGCCTTAGACTGGAACTCTGTGGTGGTGTGGTGGGAAGTGGAAGAAGCCCACCACACCACCTGGTAGTGACCTGGAAGTAGACCGAGCGCTACTACTCCCTCAAATTTGCTGGACAGAATGGATGAGGACATATTCCAAGTTATGGGAGTGAGAAGAGTCAAATTTGAGATTGTCTAAAAGTTATCCAGTAAACTATAAATTAAGGAAATTTTTATTCACAGTGTTGACAGACTTTTCTATACAAAGTTAAAAGGTAACATTGCAAACTTACAAAATCAGAAATTGTACTTAAAGTACTTTCCCGAGGAGAATAGCTTTGAGATTCATAGCTCGAGATAGAATCACTGGGTGCTGTAAAATGAACAATTTTAATTATAAATACACTTCCAGATATTGTAATTTAGTACATTATTTTTTTACTTACTCTTACTCCTCCATACAAGTCATTCCAAGGAAACTCAGGACACGTATATGTAACTGTACCACAACATTTTCACACATTTTAATCAGAGCTAATAACTACAGTATATTATTTGTTTAGAAAGAAACATCCACTCCCAATTTCCAGTTCGATTATCAGTTTAGCCATTTTAATTTATGACATTACGTTTTGAGAAGACCCTTATTTAAATTGTATTTCAGCAGCAGCTTGACAAGAGACACAGTTTTAAACAGTTATATCTTGTATTAACTCTGTTAATGGAGTAAATAACTTTTAAACTTTAAAATTCAGATTCTTGTTTTTAAAATAAGTCAAACATGTACAATGGAGTCCGATCCCAAAGTCATCCTTTCTCTATACATTGTAAACTATTCTGATCTTACCTAAAGAAGCAAGATACAAGATACTTACAAGATTGGATTTTGTATCTTACAATTTTGTAATGATATATTTTTCTAGGCAATCATTTAATTTAACACAAGTTCTTACTCTACTTATCAAACTGTATTAAAGTTTGAAACAAAACTCTTTAATGCCACGTGAGACATGTAGACAAAAAAAACAATATGAAAGGTAAAACTTACAATGTCCAGACTCCATTTGTTTAGACACCTGTTTAAAATAAAGATACAAACAGTAATTAATTTTATTAAGTGATTTCAGCATATTTTGTGTAGGAAAGGTAAAATGGCCTTTTCCCCATTCTCCAGTACTTTTTAACTACATCCATTGATTTGATGGTTTTGCATCCTGTTCTCACTTTTTCTGTGGTTTGATTATGCTTGAAACTGGATCTATTTTAAAGCTGTTTTAGTGTTGAAAACCTACATAACTAATGTAATATTAAAAAGACGACAATAAGTTGAAGCCAGTGCAACACGTGACATCACTACAAGACAAAGCACCTATAATCTTTTTACCTTATTATGTGCAAGTAAATTTAAAGATCTGAGAAAAAAGTGTTTATTGTGTATGATGTAGTAAAAGTAAGAATGTAGATTTGTGTAAATCAGACTCCAGTAACACCACATAGGAAATTTTATGTGTCTGTGATAAGGCGACTCCCCGTATAAATTCAGTTTTCTTGCTCATCACTCATCCAGCATGTCTTTGGAAATTCAAAAGGATTTGGAAAAAATACCTAATGAGAATATAAGGAGAACAATGAAACATCACACAGGAGGTTTCTCTTTTAGTTATCAATTCCTGGTCTCAAGTGCTCAGAGATACTGTAGTAGTACTGTACCAACCTACGTACCACCATGCAATTCCTGGCTCTAGGTTAGTAATATATCATAGAAATACTCAGTCCCCAGAGAATGAGAAACATCTGTCAGCACTATGCCATATAAGTAATATTCTTACCTGAAACAGAAAGACATCTTCTGGTTGACTGGATCTGCTTTCTTGAAGATTCCTTAATAAAAAGGTATACTCACATGAAAAAACAGCAAACATATATTTGAATCTGTTTTTTTATATTTAGGCACACAACTTAATATTTACAAGCAATTTCTGTTTATAGCTTTAGCAAATTCATATTAATTTACAATGCACCAAAGTTTATACTTACTTGCTGTACAGAGGTGGATTTCCTTCAAGATGAATCTTTTCCTTACAATTCTGTGAATATCCTAATATGACAAATACTTTTTAATGTGTTCAAAATATCAAAATACGTTTTCTTTTCATAAACTACAGGACTTGAGCAGCAATGAAGGAGTTAATTTACAATTAGTTCATTTACAAGTCATTTAATTTTTATATTCTCTGTAAACACAAATTACAGGAAGACGAAAAATGTGCAGTTTTTATAAACACTATAGCAATTCAAAACATTATTTTCACAACTTGAACAACTTTTAAAAATAGAATATCACATTTTTAAATTTAAATAAAAAAAACTAATAAATTAAAACCTTTGGCAGAATAGAAAAAAATACTCCAACTATATTCTTGAACTCTCATTCTTACATAACAGCTTTATTGTTTTATATTTAATTACGATAAAAAGTAATGAAGTAAAAATAAATTTTAAAATGAATGTACATTGCTGACCTTGACCACTGGATCTCTTTCCATTTTCAAAAACTACAAAACTGTGGTTTTCGTCCTCTTCTTTTTCTTCAATAAAGAAATGAGAGTAATCTGCTGTTGGCAAAATGTGACCTGTTGTTTTCTCTGGTTTTCTTAGATTTGTACTAAACATTTCCTCAGGTCCAGTGAAGACACTTTCCAGTTGCCGGCCTTGTTGCAGAAGATGGGCTTCAATGAAAGCATCTGTATCAAAGTAACCTGAATCTCCCTGATTATGAGTAAATGTAGTTCTCTCGTCACCGACGAGTGCACTGCAAATTTCAGATTGAAGACTGTTGAACTATGGTTTCATATCAGAAAAAGGTTGTTGCAAGACATGGACTTTTGGTTATCACATCTATATATGAAACATATTTATCTAGCATTTTGTGAGCAATCACGTCTTCCCTGCAGTGACTCCAAAACGTAGGGCTTCCACTTGCAATAGAGCTAACTATAAAATACCTCATGTGTGTAGGTACAGTATACCTAATGTGTGTGTTATGTACACTGTAGTAAAAGTAAGAATGTAGATTTGTATAAATGACAGTAACACCACATAGGAAATATGATGTATTTGCGATAAGTCGACTCCCTGTATAAATTTGTTTTTTTGCTCATCACTGAAACTATAGGAGCCTAACCCAGCAAGCAACGGGAGAAAGACAGAATAAACCGTTGCAATAAATGTTGCGAAGGGAGCTAATTGTGTTTGAGGTACAGTAAGTATACAGTATAGCCAATTTCATATATCTGGAGTTTAGGTACAGCTCTGTGTGACTTGTCACAGTTATTCCTTCCAAACTTCAGCTTTTAATTTCCATTTAATGGTATAATATCAGAGATTTTTCACCATTCTTCAACAAATATAATTTTGGTCCATTAGTCTACAGTTCTTAGGTTTCTTACTTGAAACCTCAGTTTTAAAGTCAATCCACAATATCTAGATGGAATTCAGGGCACTGAAATGGCTGTAACTACAGTATAATCATTCATTTATGGATGAAAATCCTTTGTAGAATGCTTTGGGTTATTATCTTGCTAGTAGTTTAATGCTGGATAATGCATGATATATATGTATAATTCTGACAGTGTTGACAGTAATTTTGTCAAAATATGAATTGAACTTATTTGTTATGTGATGCAGTATTTGTTTTATTAAATCTGTAATAAAGACCTTCTAACAGAAAATAGAGATATTACCTTTTTTATCACCCAAATGCTCTTGTTACTGTATATGTAAAGTCTAATTCGGATCTGATAAGTAAAACAAAACCAAATTCAAAATAATTGATGATAATTATCTAAAACTTTATTTTCTTAACAACTTACATGTTTTGCGATTTCTTGAGTGTGTATCCAAACTGTGATGTCTCTTGGTCCTGCTGTTGTGTTTCTTTCGACAATGGTATCCAATAATCATCATTTCTGTCTACTCCTGAATGACAAAAAGGCTGAAACTACCAATACAAACAAAAATCTTGTTAGTATTTCAATTTTAGGAAAGTTTTGTGCTAATCTTGTTTATGAAACTTTGTGCTGTTTTTATTACTATAAAACTTTCATATGTTTCTGAGTTAGCTATTTTTACACTACACCTTCTCCAGTCTGTAGATTTTTAAATAGACTTAATACCTCAGTCTCAGCACAAGATGACTCCCACATATCTGAGGAATGATATTGTGTCTTCTGTTCAACAGGGTTTTTGGATGAAAAGCAAGACACTGCTCTTGAGCTATCAGGTACTGATTCCTGTTTTTCTATATTGCTACAGTCTGAAAAACTGGATTCCATAACTGGAGAAAGCTAGAAAAAAGGATCATTAGAATAAATGGTGTAAGCAGATACAGGTATGTATACTTTTAGAAATGTGTTTTGGTACACTAACCATATATGTACTAATTGCTGTAAATATATGTAGCATTTTTTATAATATATATATCAATAATTGTAATATTTGTCATATCATATTAATATATTTCTAGAATTAAGTAATTACTATTTTAGTCTTTATTATTCTTTAGATTTTTATATATTCTCTTTATTTAGTCCTTATTTCTCTTTAGCATCTTTAGAATTTCAAGTCTGACGTCTTATAAACATGTATAGCTTATCACTTTTAAACTGTGAGTATTTAATCTGTTAATCGTGTCCAGATGAGTTTTCATGTGCTTGATAATACCTCTAGTGACCAACTGTTTATATTTTCCTTTGCTAACCAGGGTAAATCTGGTACAACTACTGTATAACTCTTACCTGTTTGTATTTCAGAGTCTGTTTAAGATAACTCTTGTTTCTTAAGCCCAAATCATGGACACTACAAAAATTAAAAGCAATTAGTATTTCACATTTTGTATGATGGGATTTTTTTTTATAAATTAAGGAGTTGTATGGTTTTGTGCAAATCTTCTGAATTATTCCATCCATCCACTGCTTGTCCTTGTGAGAGCTGCTAGTAATAGCAGTATTGACAGATATTAAAATTATCAATTTAAAGATCTAACCAATCTGAACTATAAAATAACTAAAAATCACATTCAGGTTCAATAGTATATGTTTCTCATGAGTTTTTTAAGGTGATCACTCAGTTTCTGCTTTACCATTCCTGTACTTTATAAAATTTTAGAACAGGAAACCCTCCGTTTAACAGACTAATAGGAGAAAAGGAGTGTCAGATACAGCCAAACGTCCATGAAAGCACAAATGATGTTTTTTCAGGACCCAAAACACACTATTGCTTCAGAAAAAAATATTTATACAATATATATGTCTTCTGGATCACTGTAATTATTTTTAGCAATTGCAATCAATACAATGAAAATTGTTCCTTCACAAACTCTTTATTTCATGGGTCATGAATATATAGTATAAAATTCATTAACACATACGAAATACATCATACACATCTGACAAACTCTTTCAGGGCACCATTGATTTTCCTGAATTTTAAACGTTTTATCATTTTTCATTATTTGTACATGCCCCAGTTATTGTGGAGAAAGTCCTGTATTTCTGATTTTCAAACAAAATTCCCCCTTGCAGATTTTGTCCTTTAAATCTGAAGTCTGTTAAAACAAAGTTCATTAAACCGAGGTACTGTAATTCAAATTCACTTTTAATTTACCTGTATTGAGGCTGACTTTCTTCAAGACACAGTCTTGAAGGTGGACATGGTGACATTGGCAGGTCTAAAATTTTCTGCCTTATAGATCCTTTGTCTTCCTTAATTATATGCAAATGCTTCACTTTTTTTGGTGCGTCTGCAATAAATAATATTGAGCTCACGAAATGTGTATCTCATCTTACCCTTATTTTGTAAAAGAGACCATTTTAAACCAATTTAGATCCAAATACAAAATGCATAAATAATAATTATACCAAATATATCCTAATAACTGGTAACTGAAATAAATGTGCATAACTGGTATCTGTATCAAAAATGAATTGCTTACCAATAGTTTCTTTCTGTGCTGAAATCTGATTAACAACATATAATGTGACCAGATCCATGCTTCCTCCATTATTTTTATCAGTATTTGTAGAAATTCCTAAAAGCTTCTTTTTATTTTGCAGCTTTTTCTTCCCAAAAAATTCCTTGGAAAAGAAAAGGTATATTTCAATTTGGGAATAACTAAAATATTTTTTTCTGAATGTTAGGTATCCAAATTCAATTATCATAGTACCAAGAATCAAAACATGTTTTAGAATTAATTTCATCCAACTCAAGTGCTCAAAGGGCGCAAGACAGGATACACCCTGGACAAGACTCCAGTCCATCACAGGGCACACACAGACATTAACACACACACACCAGAACCAATTTTCACAGAAGTCAGTTAACCCAGAAGCATGTCTTTAGACTGTGGGAGGAAAACAGAGCACCCAGAAAAAACCCATGCAAAAAAGGGAGAACAAACAAACTTCACACGGATAGCAAGCACTCCAGGTCCAGAGTTGAACCAAGAGCCCCAGCACTACAAGGTACCAATACTAACCACTGTGCCACCATGCTGCCCTAATGGAGCAGAATGAAACTTATAACATTTCAGTTTAAATTAACAGTAATTATCAAACTGATACATAGTACACATTAGAAACTACAATTAAAAATTACGTTAACAACATTTCTGATAATCATGGCTCTAAAGCGACATATATAAGAAATGCGTTAACAAATCTAAATATAAATATGACAAGAACCACCATTGTTAATTAAAAGAAAAGATTTTCTTATTAACCAAGAAAATACAACACAAATACAAACTACAAAACTTGCAGACAAATATTAAGAATTATATGTATGCAGATAGCAAAAACATATAATATCAACACAAAATGGAAAACACTGAGAGGCTTAAAATAGGTGTTTAGGTTGACAAACCATTCACATTAGATGATGTGGGAAAGCAAAAAAGGAAAACAAGTTATAACCCTTAAATGCATAGATTTTACATTAAAATTGTTAAAACTGTACAATGTACTATTTAGACCTCATTTCAAGTATTGTGTCCAGTTCTGGTCACCATAAAAACAATACAGCTGCACTGAAAGCATTCTTGAGAAGAGCTACCAGATACATTCCAGTGCTTAGGGGAATGTCCTGAGCGATGCTGACAGGCTGAAGAAATCTTGAACAAAGATGACTACGACAGATCCCGATTCAAGTGCTCAATATTGTCAAAGGAATTTAAAAAGTCAACCTCCCCAACAATCAAAAACATCCACTTGGCACCAGACCACTAGTTATTAACAACTTGAGTACTGGCCAGTGATCAAGAGTGAGACTACATGTTTCACCTTGATGGTGATCCAAAGAGTACAGTATAACAAAATAATTATTTAAGTAACAAATAAATATTTAATATTAATGCTGCAGCTTTCATGATGTCTGAGTCTCTGTTTAGCAGATACTATATGTACTGTATTATAGGGATTAGTCGGTTGTCAAAAGCAGAGCAGTGGGCATAAAATTACTATCCTTACATTATATTTATAAAGAATCCTAATTGTTTTCTTAATGATGTTTATTCTCCAATATATTTTTTTCACTATAGTACGCTATACAAATGTATATTTCCAAATTTAGTTTAGAACTGAAGAATTGAAGAACGGTATATAAACTGTTATTGATATTGCATTCATATTACCCTTACCTTTTGCTTTTTTATGCCATTTTTGAACATGAATCTGTTCCTGGGGATGAAATAAAACATACAATAAATCAATGTGTAATTCACAGATTCCAAATTAAAGTTTTGTATTTCCCAAATGTAAGATTTGATGTGAAAGGAAAACTGTAATACCCAATATCTAATGTTTTATTTTACTGAACAGAAACAGTCTAAAAATAGTACAAAAAAGAAACCATAAGCCATTGTGCGGCTATGAAGAAAAAAAACATTCATTTCCACGTACAGTATGAGGCTGCTTAAGGAGCAAGTACAGTAAACACAACTTTAAACATATATTTAACGTATTTCCATTATATGGTCTACTTCCTGATTCAGTGTGGGGGGGATTCTACTGTATGCACTGCAGTAAAGTATTCAGTCTGATAAAACTGGTGAGTCTTTCACATTTGCATTTTGTTTTATTCTTCCTCTTCATTTTCCAGCTTAGTTATGGTGGTACATCCATCCATTTTCTAACCATTTTATCCAATAAAGGGTCACAGGGGAGCTGGAGCCTAACTCAGCAAGCAATGGGCACAAGGATTGATGCACACTGGACAGGATGCCAGTGCATTACAGGGCAAACATAGATACACTCACATCAGGACCAATTTTAACAAAAGTCAATGAACCTACCTGTCTTTGGACCGTGGGAGAAAACCAGAGGATCTGGAGGAAACCCACACAAACCACTTAACAGACATACAAACTCCATGTATACAGCACCCAGGCCAGAACTGAACCCAGACTCCAGCTCCGGGAGGCAGTGATGCGTACCACTCTGGCACCTTGATGCTCTTTGTGGTGGAACACTTTCATCTTTTATGCTATTTGCCCAGCTACTGTATATAGTACAAATTCTGTCCATTCATCATACACATCACACATGCAGTCACACAGATCACGAGTTCCCATTCCTGGTCCTCGACCAAGGGGACCCACACACATACTAGTCCTCCCCGCACAGTCAGTTAAATAATTGATCCCTCAATTAAACCTAATAATACATTTAATTTGAACACTTTTTTTTTCAATTTCCTAGACACGTGGGAACTTGTCTTTATCTTCAACTTAACATCCATTACTACATTTCTGGGCAAACAAAGGGTGCAAGGCGGGGTACTCCCTGGACACGATGCCAGTCCACCAGAGGGTGCACACAGATACAGACACCCACCCACACCCTCACACCATAGCCAGTCTTCCCAGAATCCAATTAATCTACCAGTATGTCAGGGGACTGAGGGGAAAAACTGGAGCCCACAACACTGCAAAGCAGGCGTGCTAACCTCTGTGCCACAGGCTGCCCCTAACGTTTAAGTAGAAATAAAACTGGTAAGAGTGCTAATCAAGCAGCCTTCTGGTTCAGTTAAAAACTCATGGTGAAGAGAGCTCGGCAGCAATGAAAACCAGCAGCTGTTGAGGGTCCCCAGGAAGGAAGATTGGCGTAAATTAGATACATGACATAAAATTAGATACACAACTTGGTTAGAGATTAGGATCAGCCTTTGATGGAGTGTCATACTCTGTGAGGTAGTTTAGGTCAAACTTTATAGTTGGAGTGAGTCATACTATCGTTGATTGTTCCAATAACTGTGCAATACGGACTACTTTCGAATAAAACATTAAAATATGTATACTATTTAACAGCATATTAAAATGTTTTCCTAAATTGTACCGAAAATACTTTGTCTATAATGTAGTTTTACATGTAGATGGAAAGAAGCAGACAAATTGTCCATTTATTTTCTGTGACGCAGCAGATAACTTAATCGATAATAACATCTATGCTGCTGAACGCCATCTAATCAAATAGGCTAAGATGAATTTGATTTTTACTTACCTTGTACCTCCGACCCAATTCATCTCAGTTTTCGAAGAAAAATAGCAGTCGAGTGTCTCTAGCTTTTTGCTTCTATATTTTATCGTGCTTAACTAGACAAGCAACTGTGAGCTCATTCACCACCTCCGAAACCTAATATAATAATCAGTAACCTAACAATAAGGCTGAGGAGAAATAAATGTAACCGGCGATTGTGTAAGTACTTTTTAAAATATAGATATCCTTCAGCAAAGGATACCCTTGATTTTACCCTTGATAATTTTTTTTTCTCTCGAAAGATAAATCGCTCCTCGCAGCCATTCGTTCCCGCTCGAGACTTTATACCGCGCGCTTAGAGTCAAAGTGATCTGACTGACGAATTCTGGAGCCTCGAGGCCTGGAGAGGCTGGGGGCACAGATAACAGATGCACTATATGCAGGATCCTGCATATTTGTTTTTGAGAATTTAGGGTAATTATTCAAATCAACATGGTGTATTTTGACCAACTCAATTTCAGCATGGATCCTCCCAGTTATAGTAGCCTTCCTTCTAATCTGGACTGGAGACTGGGGGGAGAGGGGGTTTCTTGCGAAATTACTGTAGGTTGATCATCTCCCTGTACTCGCATGTGTTTTTTAATTTCTCTGGTTTCCCCTACATTACTTGGTGTCTGTTAATTATTGTGTGTGTGTGCCCTTCGTCGGACTTGCAGGACCCCATTCATTTATTGAAGTTATTGAATTTCTGGTCATTTCAAAGCATCAGTGGATTTCAGACGCACTGTATAGGCAATACAGGATATTGAAATTGCGTGCTCTTAATTGCACGTCATACCGTTTAAAAGTGGTCTCAACAAAAACAGTGTTAACTATTTTCACTTGGTAAACTGTTTCTAGCCGGGAATTCTATACACATTCAGTCTGAGCAATTAATAATAAAGTTTAAAATATACATTTGGCTACACACATAGAAGTTATAAACTGATGTTTGTCCAGACAGCCTTGATTGTCTTCAGTTTTCCTTCCTTGTACTATTATTAACTAGGTTAAATCAAACTGAATCTCTTTAACATAAGTTGCGTAGTGTTACAGTGCATAGGAATTCAATCCTGGTTAATGTTAAATTACTATTTGCTGTTTCTTAGGCGATTTAAATTATGGTTGTTAAAAAATATTTTTATTTTTGGGATTTTAGTATTGCGATAGCATATATTGTAATTATGATGGTGGTGAAGATGTAGGAGGTGTAATTTAATTTTGTTTTATATTGTATTTTGAAATGCAAACACAGCACTCTTCATTCATTCAATGTGCTTTTAAAATTCACCGTTTTCATCAAAATAAAGCATGTTGCTTCATATCGAAATTTTGCGCGACATTATTTCAAAGTAAGGTACACATTTTACTGTGCTTTTTTACTGCCTTATTCCTCTTAGTCGTTTGTTTCATAACTGTCATGTTGACCACAGTCACTGAGAATCACGTGAACCCTTAGGGTTACGTTTTGCATACACACAGTCTGAACAACGCAGATGCGCATCTCAAACGTTTTACAATCTGTTATTTGCATTCGCTGCAGAAATAACCAATCAACTTCTTCCGGGGGAGTAGCCGAGAAGAAAGACTGCACAACCTATTGACGGAAACACTCCAATTGATACTGTCTAGTGGTGCAGAGGCTCTTAGTAAAAACAATCTGCGGTTGAATTTCCCTCAGTTCTTTCTGGTTGTTTTATTATATTTTATTTTGATTTATTGTTTTACATTTGACTGAAGGATATGTACCGAAACGACGTCAGACAAGATTGACAAGTTTATATATCGCCTATTGTTAAAAAATGTCCAATATATTGCATGCGGCAGCTAAAGTGAAATGGAATCAGTCAGCTGCAGCAAAACGAGCCGCTATTCTTGTGGCGGCCGCTTATGGGGTGAAAACGTTGTATCCTGTCATTTGCAAGCAGATCAACAGAAGACCCGACCATAAGAAGACAGAACCCCTCAAAACTGAAGAACAAAATGGATTAATATTGCCAGGAACGACGGACGTAACGCCAAACAGGTCTCCTGGAGTAAATGCCGAGTTCTTCAATCAGATACTGGAACTTGTAAAAATCCTCTTTCCAAAGCTTATCACCAAAGAGCTCGGATTGCTTTGCTTACATTCTGTCGCCTTGATATCGAGGACATTCTTGTCCATTTATGTGGCAGGGTTAGACGGTAAAATCGTGAAGACAATAGTAGAGAAACAACCAAGAAGCTTCGTCATCAAATTGATGAAATGGCTCCTTATAGCCATACCGGCCACGTTTGTCAATAGCGCAATACGTTTTTTGGAGTGCAAGCTTGCTTTGGCCTTTCGCACTCGGTTAGTCGATCATGCATATAAAACGTATTTCACAGACCAGACTTACTATAAGGTTAGCAATATGGATGGGAGACTTGCGAACCCAGACCAATCCCTTACAGAGGACATCATGATGTTTTCGCAATCGGTTGCACATTTGTACTCTAACCTTACAAAACCCATTTTGGATGTGATGCTTACTTCTTACACCCTGATTCAAACTGCAAGATCAAGAGGGGCCAACGCCTCCGGCCCGACCCTGCTGGCAGGTCTCGTCGTGTATGCCACAGCTAAGGTTTTGAGAGCCTGCTCGCCAAAATTTGGGAAACTGGTGGCGGAGGAGGCACACAGAAAGGGTTACTTGCGTTACGCACATTCACGCATCATTGCCAACGCCGAAGAGATCGCCTTTTACAGGGGACATAAGGTAAGACAACAGTGGAGACACTACATGTCAGTCTTAGTTCAGGCTATGTCTCTCCTCAGTGTAAAACTAAAAAATGCATTCCTTTGTAGAAACACGAATATAGTATATCTAGTGGAGCAACGTAACTTAAATGAAATCAGGATTTCCAAACTGAACAATTACACATACTTAATGCCACTTTCATAGTGTGAATAATGTGTCTTCTTCTTCTAAAACAGGTAGAGATGAAACAACTGCAGAAATGTTACAAGGCCCTTGCTGAACAGATGAACCTTATTTTGTCTAAGCGGCTCTGGTATATTATGATAGAGCAGTTCCTGATGAAGTATGTCTGGAGTGGGAGTGGCTTAGTTATGGTGGCAGTACCCATTATCACCGCAACTGGTTTTGCTGATAACGGTAAAATAAAGATTCTTCTAAAATATTTTGAGTTATTTAAATAATGTAAATTCGTAATACTGGTAAATTAACGATAATTAAAATTGTTTAATTACTAGTAATTCGTTTAAATGTGAGTTTTAATTACTTATTGCCTCTCATACGCATAATAGCAAAATGTGTTTAAAATGTGACACAGAAATATGCCAGTGGTTACAAATGACATCATGTTTTATGTGTTTGTTCTTCTTCAGTTTATGGCAAGAAAACCGTTGCCGTAGCATTTTTTATGTGAGGTTATGGTGTCACAGTCTGTTGCTAAAGGGCCAGGAGTTTTGTTTTTTGTTCTTACTCTTTTTGAGAGTGCGTTCGGGTGGAGAGAAGGCAATTCTATTATTATTTTCAAGAGACGTTAATAAATAATTGTTGTTTCAAATAGAAATACATGTAAAATACGAACCAGTTAAGTAATTTAAGTTACTTATTACTTTAATGACTGGGATATCAAAGTAATCCAGACTGGGATACTCAGAAGAATAAATCAGACTCATGTTTTTAAACATGTCACATGCAAGGCTGTTGTCATCTGTTATAGAACCATATGATTTTTAAATTAAAATGGGTGAAAAAGCAAATGGAAGGAGGTTATTGGATGTGCAAGCAACTAATGATTCAACATCTGTAGTTTTCTGAATAAACAGCTTTAGTCGTTTTTTGATCATGTTGTGTAAAATACAATAGAATATAAACGTATGTATAAAACTACTTGTTCTTTTCACGTGTCTCCTAAATATAATACAAATTCATTTTGAGGAACACTTTTGTTTCTTTTTTAGAGCTGGAAGATGGCCAAACTCAAGTTTTAGTGAGTGAAAGAACTGAAGCCTTCACAACAGCACGTAATCTCCTGGCATCTGGTGCTGATGCTATAGAGAGAATCATGTCTTCCTACAAAGAGGTGAGGTAAACTTGTATTCCAGAGTGGCTTATTTCATATGCCTTAGATTTTAATATGTTTAAATGTTTTCACATCACTTCAGTGAGTTTAGGAGAATAAAAATGTGTTCACAAAAAATAGGTTTTCAAATTGCCTTCCTATTAGTTTATATTCCGAGCATTAAAAAATATTTTATTTAGTAGCATCTGTTAAATGCTTTTTGTGTCATTTTAATTAAAATTGAAAAATTTTGACTGACCATGTTACATTCAAATAATTGTGCTGTCACAAGCATTAAGTCAGCTAATTAGCAAAAGATTTGATTGGGTACGGGTGAAGAGGTGATTTACCCTGTTGAACCTAAAACACAGAAAGGAACCAATATCCCCTGCCTATTAAGAAAGTAGTGCCTTTGTTAATGAGAATATCGGAGCAACTTCTCAACAGGACTCACCACTGATCAATCAAGGTGTTGTATGGAATGTGACACAGACAAATAAAAAATGAAGCTAATTGTTGTGTACAGTAGACCAGTCAGTAAGATGGTTCAAGTGATGTACAGCTTGTGTTCAAATAAAGTCACACATGCTATTGGTTTGTTACTTCCTCAGTAGATCCCCAAATACTTAACACTGTTGATACCATAATGAATTTACATATGACATGACTGTTCAACACTGTAATAAGTGATGGAATTATGTGGAATTATAGTGATGAAATTATCATAATGCTCAGTATGTATTATACTAATTAGTACCAACTACTTTGAAATATCAGTACCTAGAAGTTGGAACATGATCGTTAGCAACGTGTTTTTCTCTGGAAAGTGATGACTGGTGTCATATTTGCCATTTTTTAAATAAAGAACAAACAATTGGAATCACTATTTTAATTCCTGATCAGTTAAATATTTGTAAACTAGCTGTTAGTAATATTTCTGAATTGTATTATTAGGGACAGTCATTTCTGAAGTGACCATTAACCAACCAAAGGCTCATCATCTATGTTAGTTATGCCAAACACAGTGCACAAAATCAAACAGATGATTGTTCAGCTTGTGTTTTTTCCCCTTTGTGGTGTAAAGACAAATTTCTTTCAAGTGAAGATAAGCGCTGAGCTTTGTCTTTTTACCACTATCCACAGAAGTCTTAGGAGATGCAGTGTAACAGTGTAACAGCAGCAGCTGTAACAGCAGCATCTTAAAATTACATTTTGGCAAGTTTGGCAAGTGAATTCCTGTTGATCCGCAAGTTGTTCTTTTTTTAGTCATTTTTAAGAGCTGGGTTTACATGAATTAATGTATAAGGTATCGGGCAGAATGATGTGAAGTACTACTGTATATGAAGGCTGATTTTAATGTTACAACTTTCACAATAATCGCACATTTACAGTGTTGAGAGCTTAACATGGGCTAGACCCATTTCAGGGACTGCAGTATTGTTAATTCATAGTTTTGACCATCCATCCAATTTGGAGATACAGATAAAATGAATAAACCCTGTTACAGGAACTTAAGCATGCAGCTGTATTAAAGAAGTAGACACAAATTTCTACTTTGGAACAAGGGACTGTTCCAAATGTGCTGATTGAATGCAAGAATGTACAATATACATTTCTCCTTTAAACTTTTGCTGAAATGCCATGTTATTTATGTGCAGTTTTTTATTATGTACCGTGTTCTGTATAGTTGTAACACAATAAATTTTGATTTTTTATTATTTGGTTGCTGTAGCTGTTAAAGTATTTTGCTTGCCTGCTCAATAGTCTTCTGTCCAGACAAGAGTGCCAGAGTTCTAGGAAACGTGAGCACGTGTTTTGGTGAAAACTGAGATTAGATAGAGTGTTAGAACACTGTACAGGCAGCCAGTGCATTGCAGTTCAGAATTACACTATCTGTACAGTTTCCTTTTTTAGCTTCTGTGACTGAACGTTATTCACCACAATTCATTACTTTCTGAGTGCCAGGGAGCTAAACTTACAGTATGGGTTTGTAATTACAAAAGTTATGGCTTACACTGTAAATGTTTCCTTTCTTAATATGGAATTTAAACATTGCATCAGAAAGCACAAGTGAAAGCTTTATGCATTTAAAACCTCATATTGAGATCACGTTTATGGCATTAAGAATGCTGTTAGGGAAGCTTAACTAGTTGGGAATAATCCACCATCTGCTTAACATTCAGAATGTTTCCCTATTTAACAATTCGTGTGATCAAGTGGAAGTGAACTCCTTTTCTGACACTGGTCAAAGATGCTTTGTTCTGCCTTTTTCCCACTGCATACAGATTAAGGGAAAAAGTTAAGGGAAAAAGTAGCTTTTAGTTATAAATGTATGTATATGAAAAAAATATTTATGTATGATATTCACCTTGTCAAAATCATTGGACAGTTTTAAAATTTGAAGGGTCCTGGGTTAAAATAAATGAATAATCTCTCCTGATAATTATAAATTATAAACCAAGACTTGTCTTTTAATGCCATAACTTCTAATACAACATGTATAAAGTATAGACAGCAATATCTTATTTTTATTTGAAAAAGAGCAAGCATTACAACTGCTTTTACATGTTTTAGAATTTAAAGACTAAATTGTGATCAAATGGTTTACAAAATGAGAAATATGGGACACCTCATGATAAATTGTACATTTCTTTTATTTGTGCCTCATGCTGATTGATGAAAACTTTTGTTAAAAGGTTATTGAAAAGTACCATCCTATTTTAAAATGACAGAGAATTCTTTGAAATAATATTTTTCATTTATTATGAGGATATTTTCTTATTATTTTTTGGCTTTTCTTATCTCACACAAAACATTATTTGTTGATTGGCTTTGAAACCAGGCTGCAAAGTCTATAATTTTTATGTAGTAGACTATTGACATCATTCTGTTTCTTCACAGTGCCTTTGTGCTGAAGCATTTATCCATTCACTTTAACAGGTCACTGAACTGGCTGGCTATACAGCTCGCGTACACAACATGTTTTTGGTTTTTGATGAAGTGCAGAAAGGAATATACAAGCGTTCCACTGTTACAGCTCCATCTGACAACGAAGGTGCAGCCAGACCTGAGATGCATATTGATGGTCCTCTTGAGATCAAAGGTACTTAAATAAATAAATGTGCATTTATATACTATATACTGTATTACTACAGCAAATTGACCCTTTACAGCTACCAGAAAGCAGCACATTAAATACAAGCAGTCTTTTGCTTATACATTATACCTTATTCTAATAAATATCCAAATCATTCAGAATTTTATGTAACATATAATTCTTAGGCAAGGAAAAAGAGCCTCAAGAAGTTTATACAATTTATACAAGTATAATGTAATAATATATATTTACGCCGGGTGTATCCACACTACACTCTCATCTTCAACAAAAACAATGTTAAAACATTTTCAACCATTCTTCAAGACCATCTGAGTGGTCTTGAGTCTGAGTGTGACCATCCTGCAGAAGAATGTTTCTGTTTGCCATCTAAATTATGAATTATCTAAATAATGAAGTTACTGTATATTTCTCACCAGACAGTCCTTAGTTTTATGCACCTGCTAACTGCCAGTTACATAATGAGAAAAATGCAAGAAGACTCATGTGTGCAGAGACATTCTGAATTTGCAGGCGGTCAAAGTTTTGCTTTAATCTGAGCCTGCACAATGATCCTGTTCAGGAGATCTTTGTACAGGAGTTTATCCACTGTTCATCTAAGGCCATATAGCACCCATAGATAGTCTATCCATAATTTAAACAGTAAACATGTTTTAGTACATTAGATAATCGTTATCTGTGTTCCAGTCTTATGTACCAGAACAAAGTTTTTTTTTCCCACCAATGGGGATTAGCTGCAAACCTATCTATAAATAAGGTAGGCGTGGAAAATAGAAATGAAAGGATTGGTTTTTATGTCATTTTTTTTAGAAAATGTGGCTGAATTGCACAGAGTTAGAAGAAATGGGGGATTATCCATTGGAATATTTATTTTAAAGCTATCCTGTACAATTACTGCTTTTTAGAAAGTATTATATATCTTAAAAACTCAGAAGTGTTTATTGAAAGGTACCTGCCATGTAGCTGTTTTAAAGCTACAGAAGTTATGTTTCAGAGGTACAAGAAAAGAATAATTACAGTAAATAAAGTAAATAGAAAGAAGTAAGGTATTTTCAAAACGTTTCCTATGTGCAGCCTTCTTTACAGTAGGTTGTGTTTTACACTACTCCTGTGGTGATTCTGTAAGGGATGACTGTTTAACAATTAAACCATAACCCTGTCTAGTCTATTACTCTTTCTTAGTTAATGCCACATTTTTCTTTATGTGTTCCAAGGAAATGTTATTGATGTAGACAAAGGGATTGTGTGTGAAGATGTCCCAATTATCACACCAAATGGTGATGTCGTCGTTTCCTGTTTAAATTTCAAAGTAAGTACCAAAACAGATCACAATGAATTGCTTTTTTAAAGCTTTTTTGAAATTCAACTTATAGAGAAAATGTAAACATTAAATTTTTGTTATTTTCCTCCTTTAAATATACTTGGATTCCTAGCAGGTCCTTTTCAATTTTCATGTTTGGTATATCACTGTATTCCCACATATGTACAGTACATGTGTATTAGAACCACTGTTCTTCACAAGTGATACAAAAATAGGAGAATTAGCCAACACTTATCTTGGTATAATTATGTTTGTCTCACTATAGATGATTGTTTTTTATTTCTTTTGACTTTTATAGTTTTTTACATGATAAGAATAGCAAACATATGAAATGCATAGTGTATATACAGTATATAATTCTCAATTTACAGTATATACAAGAGATCCTTATCATGTAAAAAGAGCATGATTAATTATGTCAGTTTGTTATTGACATAATTAAATTGTTTCAACACCAATAATAAAATAAACTTATACCAAAATATCCATGGCCTGAAGCTCAGAATCATTTGTGGCATAGCAAGTTAGATATATTATTTTTAACATAGGCTAGTTCACGGATAACAGAATGAGGAGCTCCTCTTACCTGTATTGATTTGGGCTTTTAGCCAAAATGTCATTTTACCATGTTACTCTTAGCCCTTTCTCTCTGAGTTATCTCAAGGTTAACAAAAGTACATTTTAAAGTGTTAGATAACAACATGTTGGAGTAGAGTTTCAACTCTGACAAACCACCTAATAAAAAAAAAACTAAGATAATTTATCTGAACAAAAATGTAATTACTTTTTGTAATTTGAAGTTCCAGAATCAATTAACTTTTTTTTCTTTCTCCTTTAATGTACATTTTGGGTTTAGGTAGAAGAAGGAATGCATCTACTAATCACAGGCCCTAACGGTTGTGGGAAGAGCTCTCTGTTCAGGATTCTGAGTGGCCTCTGGCCAGTGTATGGTGGAGTCTTGTACAAACCCTCACCACAGCACATGTTCTACATTCCACAAAGGTATGTAAGACATTTTTTCCCCAAAACTGTTTCTGATCCCCCCTGTGTATCACTGCACGAACATTGTTCTAACCAGGCAAAATCTGTTCTAAAATCTTCTCCACTGTAAAAATTAAAGAGCAGTGGCAGAGTATGTTGGCAGTGGTAAATGTGTAAAACAGTGATAAAAACATTATTTTATTGTTGTTCTTATGGATATTGATTGTAACCATAAGACTGGTTGTTCTTACTGATATATGTAGCTACAGCAGGGATTGTTTTAATGTATGTTTTTTTTTATTCCATATAAACTTCTTTTAAATTAACATTTATATTTAACGCCTTTAAGATAATTTTCCAGTGCCATCTGGAAGAGCTCAACCTGCATTCAGGCAGGTTCAGTATGTGTAGTGGATTCATACCTGGTTCATTTCACTAGCTGATTGTGATCAGGATTCCCCGAGCAGCAGCACACAGTTGGCTGAGCGCCCCCTAGAGGAGAGTGGAAATAGTCAGCCAGGTCTCTCGTGGCTCTCAGCGACACAGTAAACTGTGGTCCTGGGGACACTTGCAGGCATGTGGCGCAGCTGGGGAGGGACGTACAGTACCTCTCCTCCAGTCGGTGCTGAGACTTAGTGCAGTGGTATTTTAAAAGTCAAGTGTCCTGATGTTGGTCAGCAGATTCTTTCCATACTTCTTCATTCTCATTCTGTCACAGGGCTTGTAGTTTCGAGGTAATATGTTAACAACATACCACTGGTTATTTCAAATTGGGTGGGTATACTAAAAATATTCGCAATTCTAAATTTAAAAAATAAGCATTGCCCAAGGATTTTCGTGAAAAAAACCTGATTTCAAGATTTCTTCTGCACCTCTTCCAGTTGAATTTTTTGTTTAAGTACTTTCATTCACGTCTCTGGAAGAATCACTTCTCTGATCTCTTCTATGATCATCATTTCATTACTACAGAGAATTAAAATACTGTTGTGTCAAGCCCTTGTTTCTTATTTCTGTTCTTTTATGTGTGTGTATGTTTAGCAATAAAATAAGTATTGTGAAATACCTGTTAGTGTGGTACCATCCAATGAAATCTCAATATTTTAGTAAAGTAATCAATGTCTCCAATGTTTAACAAATTAGGCTTAAGTGATTATTTTAGTAAGTGAATTAGGTGCAGTATGACCACGGACAGTGTCCTTTTGACTTCATTAAGCTATTTATATCAGACAGTTGATACCGCCAGTGCTTTGGTATTTAAGTGAAAATGAATTTAATATCAGTTCTGCATTGTCTCTCTTGACCTGGACTGAGCCTATTAAATTTGAATTCCTGTCACAGAGCTGAGCACTGCAGCAGGTAATACAATAGGTATTAATTCTGTGTGATTCCACCATGGTAACGATATTTAAGGAAACTTGAGCTAATGTGAGTAAAATATTTAAAAGATCCTACAGGTGGTAGTGCAGTCACAAATTATAAATGTTGGATGTATGGAATAAATATTTTATATGTAAAGATAGCTGTGTCAACAAGAAGATGAAGGCTATCTGCATGCTGGCATAGTCCTGTGACATGTTGTTTGACTTCGCATCAGAAAGTGTTTGTCTGTAGAATGAAGAGGAGTTTGGGCAGTGTACTTTTATGTGATTATCTCATTCTCAGTTAATGTACCATATTAAAATAAGAGATTAGCATTACATACACTTCTTTCCAGTTACACACATACAAACTAAGGTCAATTACTTCAGGAAATATAGTAAGAAAAGTGTGAGGTTTTAATTTTGTATTCCTTACTTTGAGAAGGTGTAAATATAAAGTAATTCATTTTCACTTTTAGTATTCCTGTGATAAAATAAACTAGTTATAAACAGTTGATTACGTTAGGGGTTGTAGCCATAATCAGATGTAAAATTGCACATACAAATGCAAAAACATTAGAACACACAAATACCAAATTTAAATAAACAATAAATAGAATTAAAGGCTAGTCTATGTATGTATTAAGACATGATTTAAAAGCACTGACTAACTTGGAAGATCTAGAGGCAGGGAGATTTTTCCATAGCCTCAGAGCATCAGAAAATAAATATTTTTTTTCCAAAGTTCAAAGCCTAGTTTTGGAGATTAAAGATTGGTGGGTTCCACTTAACAGAATAATGAAATATTTTGGAATAATGAAATGCAGATAAAACAGTATCAATACAAATATGCGCTAAACCTAAGTGTTCAAAATGGTTACAAATATTATAAATAAAAGGGTAAAATAAAAACATGTGTGTACACACATATAGGTTATCACAGTCTATAAAATACAAAAAAAAAAAATAATTCTTTCTCAGGTAACCTGATTATCTCTCTTATAGTTTGTTTTGCAGTCTAGATAACAATTTTTGGATTTTCTGAAAATCAGAAAAATAGGGTGATTTTTCACTTTTTAACATTGGCTACAGTATTCTTCCTCTTGCAGAACTACAGTATGTTATGAAAATCTTTCCTTCCTGAATGCATCTGAAAAATAAAACACCTGTAGTATTACAAGAAACATAATCCTATTGCAGTACTTAGTCAGCAAAGGATATAATTTAACCTTGCAGACTAAATTATTTTATAAAAGGCATCTAAAATTGGTTTGGCTGATTAGGTATTTTTAAATTTGTAACAACACTATTTATATTCAATAAAGATTTATCAGTAAAGATTTCAGGAACCTGTAGTATAATAGATTTTAATAGAGATATATTCAATAGATGAGGCACAAATAATAACTAAAGTACAGTGAGTTTTCAATATACATTTTCCAAAATCTAACTGAACCGCAATAGTTACAGTATATTCCCACAATACGAAATGTAATTTAAAAATTGTAGTTATCCTTTTAAATTGCCTGGAACCAGAAGGACAGGTTAGAGATAAATGCTGCTTTAAAATGCAAATATTTAGGTAGAAAGCTAATAGGTATTTATAGGATTTCATTCATGTCTAATGCCCTGTTCAATTATTAAAGGAGAATACAAAGTTACACTCAGCAGAAACAGGAGTGATTAATCACTGATATCAAAAGGTGAAACTGAAGGCTGATAAATACATGGATCACTTTTATTTCTTTATCTTTTTCCTGCAGTTCTCTTTGTTTTTGTTCATATAGTGAGAAGAGCAATACTGTGTTTTCCTTTGTAATGAAAAGCAGCAGACAAATTATTCAATTCTAATTTTCTTAGACCTTATATGTCAGTTGGGACTTTGCGGGATCAAGTCATCTATCCTGACTCAATGGAAGACATGCGTGAGAAAGGCTACAGGGACCAGGACCTGGAGGTCATTCTGGATATTGTCAATTTGAACCAGATAGTTACAAGGGAAGGGGGTAAGGCTACTCTCTAATTCCTACTGATTTCTAGAAGACATCTCTCCTGTGTGACACATACTGTATAAGTAACAGCATCAGTATTAGCGAACCATATGCACTACGCATGCATTTTCTATAGACTAGTCTAGAACGTCAGTAAGAAATAATGCATATTGTCCTCCATATTGTCCCTGATAACTAGTAATTCTGCATCTAAACAAAGTAGTAGACATTTAGTACTTTCCCAAAATATTGCATAGGCATTTACAGTGAAAAAAATATGTATGGGGACGGTGAAGTGAAATTTGCCAGTTTTGGCTGTTTGCCTGTGTACTATTGAAATTTGTATTTCAGATCACAGATAAATAAGAGGCAAAAGTACAGAAATAATCAGCAATAAAGACCAGTGAGCCAGTTCTAGAGGCGGCCATGCGTTCAGAAGTTATGACACTACCTCACCCATGCTGTTCGGATGAGGTGGTGTCCTATGGAATTCTGTCAAAGTCTTCTGCACACAGTGAATTGAGACACTTTTACCCTGCACTCTTGAGATTCTGCAATCTCTTTGGCTGCTATTTTGGGGTTTTTCATCAAAGCTCTAATGATTCTGTCATCAACTGCTGTTGTCTTCTTTTATGCCTTCTAACTCAAAAGGCAGACTCAAAAAGTGAACTCATAAGGTTGGGACCAAGACTATGTATTTACAGCTCTTTTATTTTTCACAAATTTACAAATAATTGCAATCAGAAAAAATAAAGTTAAAGCTGTGCTTTACGTGCTTTTGACTCTTTGGTGACACTGGTCATGAGGCTGGAAGCTGGAATCAGCATACAGTTTCAGCAGCAGTGCAAGTTTAACATGGGATAGCACTTTGTACAGTAAGCAATTGTAAATTTTAAAATGTACAACATGAGCAATTAGTTTTGTTAGCCATTGCTCCCAACACTTAATTTAATTGGAAATGGAGAATTAAACAGTTGAAATTGTGTAACATGGCTAAACATTTATGCAAAATAATACTCATAAACAAAAGCTGAAATTAATATATACATTTATATATTTATATATTATATATTAATATATATTAATGCGACATAGAACAATTTCATTATTAAACAGCAAAAATGACAAAATTCTGTTCACTGTCCCAATACTCGCTCTTTTCACTGTACATTTACTATATAGCATTTGTAAGTTTCTTTTTTTTTAAATGGGTCATGACCAGATTTTGTCCATTTAGTAATAAAAATGTGAATTTCAGCATTCACTATTTACAAGTATAATTAAGTATTTTATATATGGACTAGATCATGTTATTCACTCACTCTGAGAATATCGTCTGTTTCTGTTTAATTATTGCTTTGTTGTATTTTAAGGATGGGATGCTGTTATGGACTGGAAGGATGTTCTGTCTGGTGGAGAGAAACAGAGAATGGGGATGGCACGCATGTTTTATCACAAGTAAAATAAAAAGCTTTCCTATTCTTTTGTAAACATTTTTGTATGCTCATATTAAACAAATTCTGCACAATTTAACTTATATTTTCCTCTTAGGCCGAAATATGCTTTGTTAGATGAGTGCACAAGTGCTGTCAGCATTGATGTGGAGGGGAAAATATTTCAGGCTGCAAAGGATGCTGGGATATCCTTGCTCTCTATAACACACAGACCATCTCTGTGGTGAGTAGTCATTCAATCATGGTCCAGGACTGACTCTTATGGGTTTGATGGAAGATATTACTGCATTTGATTCTTTAGGGAGGCACAACAGAGTAAGAAAATTATCAGTGTAAGAGATGTTGAGCATTTACAGCATCTGGGTGTTTAAAAAGGTCTTTAAGAACACTGCAATTAAAAAAAACTGCTTCATAATATAGCATGTAGTGTACTTCCTGGGGTCACACACTGAGTTTCATATTTGCATGTAAAGGTTAGATTCCCTTTTTTCAACTTCCTTTTTTTCATAGTAGCAGACTCCTTTATATGTATGTTTTATATATAGTATATATGTTCTATATACATATACGGTACATATGTACATACTGTACATATTTATTTTGGCAACTTGATATGGCAGTTACTTGTAGATTTACTTTAATTTTGCAGACTTTTCTGGGAGTTTCAAGGACATAATTTTGGCATAACTAAAACAGACGCTAATTATGAAAATCACATGACTCCAAAAGAAACTTTAAATGCAGAATGTGTAGAATTGTTTTTTATTCCATGAATGTAACATCTTGTTCTCTGCTAAACATGTGTTTGTAGGAAGTACCACACTCACCTCCTGCAGTTTGATGGTGAAGGAGGGTGGCGTTTTGAACAGCTGGACACAGCTACTCGACTTTCCCTTACAGAAGAGAAACAGAGGCTGGAATCTCAGCTTGCTGGTATTCCCAAAATGCAACTGAGACTGAATGAACTGTGCAAGATTTTAGGGGAGGATTCTGTTCTCAAAACTACTGATAATGAGAAATAACTTCGTTCTCCTGTGCAAGCAAAGGATAACGAAGGAAAATTGGAACACGTGTAAATGGTATTCTTTATAAAATTAGTATTAATTGATCAATGTGCATTACATTATTTTGGTTTTTCAGTTAGATGTGTTTCTTTTTTCAAAAATAGCAACACAGTAGGATTTCTTCAGAAATCAAGTAACTGAAGGCTAAGGAAAGCCACTTCAGAAATGTTTTGAGCAATGTGATAACAAAAGCAGAAATGTTTTTAGCACTTTACTACAACTAAATTAGGTTGTTTCCTAAAATAGTATTTAATTCAATTTTATTATTTTAGCAAAATATTGTGAGATTTATGAGCCACTCTTCTTTGCTTAGAGGACATTTTAACTTGTTTTGTATTTTTAAGGAATGCAGTTTTAACTAGATAAAGCTTTCATGTAAGGTACGGTAATTATTTTTCTTTTTGTATTTGCCATTTGTAACAAATGTTTACATCTGAGCTCAGAGATCTTTGATTGAAATAGTGTGTTTATGCAAAACATAAATGCCTTCATTTACTTACTAACCATTATACTTTTGTGCAAACCTTAATAACTCTATGACTCTATTTACGTAACACCGTGATCTCAATCACAAGTAAAAATTAAAAAATATTTGAAGAGTGAAACAATCAAATATCGATTTACTTTTTTATGCTAGCGTAAAGAGGCAAAAACAAGTAAAAAGGACGTTATTTGTAGTTTAATTAATTCCAAAATAAATGGAAAAACTCCAATAGTTACTGTAGATGCAGCAAGTATTCTTTAAGAAGGAACAAAGGATTCCTCTGAATAAAGGAAATCCAGATCCTTGTACACTACAGCAGTGTGGATATGAAGCAGGGTAATGTTATTTACAATTTTGTTAACAGACGTATGATTGCTTTGATATGATTTGGGTTACTCAGTAGAGTAATGTCTTTGACATATTCAAATTCTGCTTCAATTCACAGTAATGTGGTCCCAAATTTACCCCCATTTGCAAAGAAAACATTTTCTTTCCCTAAATAAATCTGATAACTAGAAAAAATCACATAAGATTAACTTAAGAGTGATCCTTCCCCTGAATTACCTCCGTTAGATGAAATATGTCTGTTTCCACTGTTTTCAGCTCAGCAACTAAAATTACCTCACACCCAGAATGTTTAATGATGATAACTAACATTTTTGTTCTTAGGTAAGGAGTGAGTATTAAGAAATGATAATGAGTAATTTAAGAGCAGACCAAAGTGCAAATAACATATTAAGTATGTGAATAATGGTCACTATGTTTTCTCTGAGTGGGCAGTTTTAATAACAATCTATTGTTCAGACAATGCAGTTCAATAGCTGATTACTTTTTAACTAGATATGATTATAACCTTGCAGGTACAGAGTTAAGACAGTGTAGGCATACACTTTTTCAAAGTTTTTAAAGTCTTTAAAGCATTTATTATTGCATTACTAAAGGTCTCTTCATGCCACAAAAAAGGACAAAATAAAATTTGATTAAGTTTTCAACAGATGTGAACTAAGCCATTGTTGGCAACCAAATATTCATGTGGGACATATTTCAAAATTATTGTTACATAACCATCATTGTGGGCCGGAGTCAGCAACTGATAGGATCTAATATCTGGACTCATGCAATTTTTATTTGTTTCTAGAGGGTAATCATTATAATAACTGCATATACAGTATGTAGAATGTTTCATCCCAAAGGACCCTGAAGCATTTTATATACTGTATAGGAGTGGATCCACATCATCGTCCACTGAAATGGAACATTACACAGGAAATCCAGTGGAGAAGGGAGAAATTGCCTCATCAGTTGAATTAAGTAAGAACGTAAGGAAAGCTGGAATGTGCAAGCCCAGAGTGGAATTTAGCCAGGACTAATGGTAGTAGAGTTTGACCTTGGCCTCCCTCAAGCCTACTCTTCTGATGGTACTGGAGCTGCGGTAATCAAACATTTCCTTGGTTTTGCACATACAGTAGCCTGTATCTCTGCTATTTATTAGTTTGAGCCACTGTCCAGAGAAGCCTGGGACCTTCTTTCAGTTTGTTTCCACCAAGTGTTCAAATAAGAAGGGCTCTGACTCTTTCCCCTTTTAAGTGTATTAAATTTACATAATGTGACTTCCAGAATGTTCTATACTGCAGACTAAGTTACATAACTTATTAGAACATTCTAATTTTGAAAAAAATGAAGAACAAATAGCATTTTCCAATACTAAAAAGGGTAATTGTATTATGTAGAAATGCTGATGGTTTACAAACATAAAAACAAATAAATTCCCTGTATACACTGCAATGTTACAAATCTACTTTTCTTCCCATAAAAAGCACAAAAATATAACTCAGTGACATTTTTAAAGTATAATGAGGTGCTGCTTAGGTGCTTGATTTGTTGTATATCTGATTTCTTTTAAAGTGAATCTGTTGCATTTTCCTTAAATAACTGACACTGCTTGAACAGCTATGCAAATTGCACAACTGTGAAATTAAGAAAATTAAAGGTAGGACAATTGTAATAAAAAGGTACAAGTTGCTGCATTATCAATGGTATGCTTACAAATATCTTAGTATATTTGTAAGCATCCTCAAATAATACAGTACATCTCCAATATTTTCCATGATCATAATATTTTCAGGTGAAAGTAGTAACTAGTAGAAAAGATTACAATAGGGTCTCAACAGCTGCAAATTAAAAATTCATTCACTTACGCTTTGGTCTGGCTGCTTATATGGAAGAAGAGTAGAGCAGATGAGCTGAAGGTTGTTAGCAGCAACTTACAAATTAGTGCAACAGACTAGGATCATGAATTTTATTTAGCTAGTGAGTCTCTCCCTGCTGCCTGCCCAAATACCCACTATCTAGTATTCTCATCTCATCTCGTCTCAAACCCGTAATGAACACTCCAGGTTGTGTCGTCAGTATGGGTAATGACAACCTGAAGACGACTTTATAGGCTCACTGATAGATTTCTTGCCGTTTCTGTTACAGGAGGGCATGCTAATCACAGTGGCAGAGAGACTGTGAAAGCTGGATACAGAGGAGGGATTTGTGTTATTTTAGCTGATTACTATTCATTTGTGATTACTGTGATCAATGTTTTTTAAATTAACTTAAGGCCAAAGCATTGGTGCTTTAATTACCATATAAATCAAGGTCACATATGTCTTTTAAATCATACATACTATACTATAGTATGTTATGCAATGGTAAAGAGTTGGACTTATTTAGTCATATACAGTAATATTCGGTCGGATATTCGATTCGGTCATATCCGAATTTGGCAATTAGTGAAGGTTCTCTTTACCGAACCCCTGCTAATGTTGAGACCCTACTGTAATTAATGCAAGTATATTTTCGGTTTGCATGCTGAGCAAGTCAGTCATGAGTCCAGGTGATTCTTGGAGCTGCTGCTGTTTGAAGGCTTCTGCATGATTCTTCTGCAGAGATGTCTTTGGCTATCCTTCTGGAATACATTTTTTTCATATTGCTATCATTTCGTAAGGGCTTCTTGGCATTTTCCCAGCCAATGGGGATGCACTTGGGTATTTTCTTTGTCCACTTATGATCCACACTACTTTTTGCCCAGCCCATTTACACTTTTTTAGTTTTCTGTCTCTTCATATTATTCCTGGCATACATCTTTCTGCATTTCTTTGGGTTTTCTGTAGGTTCTTTATCACGTTTGTGTTCATGGCCTAGGTTTCAAATCAATACCCTCCTTTCGATGCACAAAAAAGCAATTTGTCTTTTAGTGACACAATCTTCTAAAACCACTTAAGTGCTTTATAAAATAGGTGTCCATTGTTGAGTTTGTTGAGCAAGCTGTCTCTCCCTTGGCTAGAAATATTTCTACCATTGTATGTATGTGTTCTTATCACTACAGTATCTAGTTCTACAACCTGGATCTTCATGGCCCTCTTTGCTTTCATGCACATCCAGCCACAGCCTGTGTTGTTGACATTCCACTCTCAGGGGAATTAGAGACGTGATTTTGTTTGTGTCAATACTGCTGGCAAGAGCAATGATACAACACTGGCCAAACCTTTGGTGAGTTACTCCTTCTGGATTAACCAGGTACCTAACTCAGATGTTTACAGTATGGGTAAACCAGCAAGAATCCCAGGGTTTCTCTGTAGTTCTTCTCTTGCCACTTTTTTGATACAGTATGTTGACAAAGAGCTAGCAGGATCTTATGGAGGAATTATATAAAAGTATATAAATCAAGGTTTGAAGATTGTTGCAATATAAGATTACTAAATATAAGGCTCACTTCTGCTTAAAATTACATGCTTTTAGATTTCAGTTAATAGTAAAATAGTAAAATCTTGCCAATTCATTAAAATTATGTTTTGGGGTGATTAGAAGTCCTTAATATTACAGGTGCTGTTCCCTTGTGTATACATTTGGATCCTCAGCCGTGCAATAATATGTAGTTTTAAAATGGGTTTATTACTGGTCAAAGATGATATAAATAATTGTTTTAAATAAGCAATTACATTGTTTTAGTTGATTCCCATAAATAGAGTGAATGAACTGGCAGACATTATGAATGCTCTTGCAGTGAATGAGAGTGGCTAAAGTCATACCCTAACAAACCTTCTCCAAAACAAAAACTCAGGTGTCTGAATGGTGATTGTTAATGTTATGCTGTAGACATTCATGTGTTCAGTAAACACCCAGTGAACTGCTGTCTGTCTTGGACTGTTATACAGTGAATTTTTAGTTTTAGCAATGTCATATGTATGTTAAGTCGAGATTCTTATACTTAAAAAAATATTTCCTGTATTGTTTTTTCTATTCTAGGTTGGATAAGGATTTATAATGTTTACGTGAAACAGTGTCTGAATTTGTTATAACTGTATTGTGATATAGAGTCTATAGATTTTAGTGTAACAAGAAGTGCTTTGCTGGTGATGCACCTGTGGTTAGGGTGATTAGCTATATTTATTAGTTCTTCTGTCACCCACTCATTTGTCTCCCAAATCAATCCAATACAATATGCCCATTGCACACTGAACAGTTTGAATGGTTTGGAGTTCCCCGATATGTCTAGTTTTGAATTGATATGAATTTTTCTCACAGATTGATTGCCTTAGGGACATAAGGAGTTCTGCAGGTGGAATACTGTGTCCATTTGACCTCAGATCTGCAGTTGCAGTAACTATTGCATAAAATTTACTTAACAGTTGCTGGTTTATGGCAAATATTCAATATACTGTTTGTGTATTTCTTTTCTCATATCCTTTAGTTAGAAAAAGCTAAGCATGTGCAAAATCATAAAAAGTTTGCAATTTTAATTAAATGGGATTTAATTGCTTTTCCTAATCTTATACAGTGCATCAGGCTTAATTTTAACAGAATGATGAAGATAATAAAAATATGAATGTCTTGTTAAACAAATGTTTGTGAACATGAGTGATTAAAATTATTTTGCATGACCAGGGTAATGGATGTAAACTATACCATTTTTTCTTTTTTCCAATTGTGTATATCTCCAGTTTTTGCAGTTGTAACAAGGTGCGTGATCTAAAGAAACTGTTGTACACAGAAGCATTGGAAGCTCAGAAGTTGGACAGGTTAAAATACAGCTCCATTTTAAAGAAGGTTTGTCTCTTAGTTTGTGGCTGCCCAATTAGATTATTTTACAGGTCTAATTTGTTGTATTTGTCAAGAGAGCAAGCAGCCTTTTTAATTTTACAACCTAAAATAAACTCAACAAGTGGATGGATATTTATGTGAAATTCAGGAACAATTTATCTATTCTGGAAACAAATAAAATGTGTTTATCTATATATTTCTTATGCATGTGCCTCCTTTTGATTTATTTTTTTCTAGATTTTTTATATGAACTGATTTTAATTAGTTATCAATATTAAAAAATGCAAATAATTGATTATACATACAGTACAAAATAATCCATTCAATTCATAAATTGATTTATTATGCAGTTTTATTATTATTTATACAGTATGAAATAAGTAAATGAAAGATATGCATCAATGTTTATTTTGGCAAAATATGGTTTTAATCCTCTGGTTTAATTTGGACATTAAAAATGACATTCCACATCTGCTTCTTGGTTACCGTTGTTGTTATATCATGATGTCTTATATTTCATTTAGTAGCATGATTGACTTGCTATGCTCTCATTTTTTCCCCAATAAGGCAACATACTATAGTATTTGTTATTACACTAAAATGAAAAATTGGGTTTGGAAACATCAAACTTAATTCAATACCAAAATGTGCCTATTGAGACACATGTACAGTAGGTGGGATAGATCTGGAATGACCCCATGCACCAGTCATTGCGAGCTCACAAGCTAATGGCTTGCTCCAATAGAATGAGAGGAGGGCCACGGAGGTTTGAGAGAAGATTCTCTGGCCGTGGTACATGAGAAATGTAGACCCATATTATATTCAGACGTTAATGGGGGACTGGCATTGAGCTTTGTTCAAGTGCAGGTTGTGGCATGTCTTCACCCTGAAGAGTATTTATTCTGCATGTAAAGGCACAGATTTCTAAAAAGGTGACATGTGTATAAGCAAGTAGAAATATGGTTCTTTAAGGCAGGTGAAAAGCTGTTTGACCAAAAACTTGGGATCATACAAGATCAAGCTTGAGTAAGTGCTGAATATAATAATACTGTATATATGTGGTTCCAGTTAGATTTGTTTTGTCCACTATTGTATTATATTAGGTTATCACTGACAAATAGCATGTCTTCCTGTAAGTTTAATTTGAATTAATATATTCCTGAAACCTTCAAAATTGTACAGTATGAAAGATGCAATAACAAAAAAAAACATTTTAGCTCTTGGCCATAATGGGAATGTTCTTAAAGTTTTTAAGTTGTACAGATGACTAATTTGTACCCTTCAAAAAAATAAAACATGTTCATTAATTTCTCTGACCTTTTCTTACTACACACATGAAACTCCTTCATATGAAACCATCTTTTTTTTTAAATCTTTGAGACTATTGACAATTGCAGCAAATACTAAAAGGTATGTAAACAAGCATTTCAATTAATTTATTGGGGGGAAAAATATATTAATTCCAATTTCTTTTCAGTTGGCCTTATGCCCATTTTAAATCAAGAAAGTAAAGTTACCTCACATAATACAGTTTGAGAAAACTGAGAAACAATATAATGCATTTCCAAGTTAAAACATTTAAATCTATGATAAATGTACATTTTAAAACAAAAAGCAATGCTGCAGCAATTCATTAATAGAACCTGGGGTGCGGCCACCATCTTGGGCATGGTCAAGCTCCACATCACCCCACCCCAAAATCACCCTTTTGGGTTCCTTTTCAACTCACACACTCCTCCAAGAGTGGTGTTCACATAGACACATGATTCCATATTCCATTACTTCTGGCCCTTCCCTCTGGAGTCCCAGGCTCAGCATGTTTCACCCTGTTGTCCTCACTGCTAGGAGCCTCCTGCTCCTGCATCTACCTCCAGACCCAACATCCTCTTCTGACATTACCAGATTGGGACACACGCACACGCACACGCGTTGGTTCACAGCTGTTGGCACACCTGACCCTGTGCCCAGCCACCACTGCATTGTCTCCCAGTAGCTAGATAGCCCTACTCACTTCCCAATACCCGATGTATTGCCATAGGGAGGGTCCCTCTACCATAGAACTCACTCTGGTCCACACACTCAGTCATACAGCGGACACCGGCAGCCCTGCTCTCAACCAGGATGCTATCTCTTTAAATATTTCGTTGATCTCGTTAAGCTCCGGTTCTTCTGTCAATCTCCTCCCAGACTGACGTTCTCACCCTTTCCCTCGCAGGCTATTCCTCTCACAATCCACTCCGGGATTGTCGTTCTCCTCCACCCCCTCATGAGGCTTCTACAGCGGCTAGTCAGCCTTTGTTCAATCCGAACATCGCCCTGCCTAGTAACGTCTTAAACCCACTACTTTCACGCTCCAGCCCCGGCTCTCTCACAGTAGAACCTCTGTATTGAGAGAGCTAATCTCCCACATCCTCTCACCACTGCAGCCGCAATAAGACTACAATCCTGCTGAATTCCCCCCCCCTTTCCAGGAAGTATTCAGGCTGGTTTTAAAACCACTCCCACACCTGCCGCTCTTTCTACTTATTCACGTCAGGTGTTGTTTCCAGGGCAACGCGTCTCCCTTAATCCGGGGCTCCGCCCCCCACACCAAACATTCCCTGTGTTGCACCACAAACTGAATACAATATTACATTTAAAACACAAAGCAATGCTGCAGTAATTCATTAATAGAATTAAAAACCGAAAATAACAGAAGAATTATTGAAATCCTCATCCTCCATCATGGACATTCATTTCAGAAAGAAACACAAATGCTAAGTATGGCACTAAAAAAATAACTTCTCTTTGCTGCAGTGAGGCCTGATGAATATTAAGAAGTTACTGCCTTCCAGGCTTGGCCCTGGATTCTTCTCCCTGGGGAGAGCTCTCCCAGAGGGCTGGGTCACAGCAGCTGCTAGCACAGATCTCAGGCCCTCAGAAGAGGACTGAAAGAGCAAAGACGCCCAGGGACTGCATTCAGAGGGAGGTGGAACAAGCAAGCAGTTTCACTTAGGAGTTTCTTAAAGTAGTGGCTGAACTAACAGACAAAGAAGGATCAGTTGCATCATCTGCTGAATTTAGATTTGAAGTAAAGATTTACGAAGGTGTAATCATTCAGTACTTTGGTCTAAAATAATTATAATGCAAATGCTTTTACAATCAAATGGAAAAGCTGCTATGTAAAATAAAGGAACAAGTAATACATTTATTCCATGCCGAAAAAAAAGAAGAAAAAAAACACAAGTAAGCCTTGACACCTGAAGAAGGCTGCACGGCCGAAATGTTGCGTTTTCTTTCTTCTTTTTTTCAGCTTGGAATAAACCTTTACTTGTTCCTTTGCAGCCTACGCATGCTGACGCAGCTACCCACCTGAACATGTAAAATAAACGTTCCATTTAGTAAACTGGAGGATTTCAACAAAAAATACCCAAATGTTTAAAAGAGAACTATCAAGCTTAAGATTCTCGGTTTGATTTTTACAAGAAATTAACCTTACAGTATCTTAATGTTCCAGTTATTTTTCTTTAATTTAAGTAGTGGTTTGGAGTATTATAACTACTCAACATTAGAAAGATCAGAAGGACTACATTTTGGTAAGATATTTGCTGATACAGGTTAATACAGTATCTACATTATGCATCCCAAAAATGCATGAGGTCATTACATTCTGTGGCATGAATCAACATACCGTTTTATTACTTTTGTATAAAGAGCAGCCACATTCAAACTCTCCAGAAATTTCAAACATTTATTCTTCCATTATCAGAAAGCTGCTTATTTCTAGTAAAGATCACAACAACTCAGAGTCCATCCCAGTAGCGCTGGGTAGAAGGCAGGAGTGGCAGGAGTGTCCCACTTAGGATGGTTAACCCTAGTTAACCAAGCCAGCATGAAGTGGGAAGGTGAGAGGAAACCCAGAGCACCCTTATATGGAAATGGAGAGAACATGCAAGCAGTCTGGAATCAAACCCAAGACACAGGAGCTACTGCATGATGCAGCAGCATTGTCCAACCTGCCACCTAGCTGCCCGAACTTTAAACAAATGTGTAAAAATATTTGCAGATACACCATATTTCCACAGGATATACATAGGTTTGATGATTTGTTTACACATAATGTCATTTTATCAGGAATTATTTGTAAAAACCTGTTTTACATTATTCTTTTGAGCTTGTTACATACAGATATAAAGTTTGTAGTATAAAAGTATAAAAGACTACTTTTTGAAGAAGATTATCAAAATAAACAAACCACAAATACACTAACAGCATTACATCAGAAAATGTTTAGCAGATTGTGTCTACATGTTCAGCAGTTTTGTGCATTAATCACAAATAAAAGTAGTGGTATTATTAAAAAAGCTATTGACTAGAAGAAATGCTTAAAGATGTGAAGACAAACCCAGCGTCTTCAGCCCACAACCTCTCACGAGGTCCAGCATGGACTGCACACATACCCTTACACATTTACACCTGTTATTCTGTTACAAAAATATTCCAGATTGTCACCACCGCTTATTTTAGTAAATGATGCTGCTGTTTACTGTTTCCAGCTCTATTGTTAATTTCATTTATCTGTCTTCCAATACACTGTGTTATGCATTGATTTATTCTCCATCTTGAGCAAGAGAATGAGAGTGGAAGTGAAGAGGAATGAGGGACCAAGTGACAGAAAACTAGAACAAAATAAAGATGCAGAGGAAGGATAACTTTTTTTCATTTCTTTGGGATCTATTTAAAAAAGTTATGTTTTGTCTGTCATCCATCTTGTGTGAGGTTATAAGCTCTGTTGAAAAGGAGTTTTGTCCTGACCACCAGGGGGGGCCAGAGGAAGGCTTTAAAGTTCATACCCTGGCACTTATGCTCATATGCTCATGTAAGTTAATATGCATTCGACTAGGGTATGAGATGCTGTTAACACCCAAACTTCCTATAAGCCTAATCACTCCGCTCTCTCTTTGCAATGTTAAAGATGCTATGCTATTGGACATGGTTTAAAAAGGTTTCTATTACACTCTCTTTGTTTTATTTTCTCCCCAAAATACACGATTGTACACTTAAGAAAAAACTCATAAAAAACAATAATATAATAATTTTAAGGGCTGGTTCCAGGTCACATAAACCTTCTAGTTCTAGTTTCTGTGCTGCATATTACCCCTCAGGGAAAAAAGGCTGCAAATGAGAGGAGGCCATTTGGCACATCTAGCTTGTTTGGTTGTTAATTCAGTGATCCAAGGATCTCATCCAGCTAGGTCTTAAAAGAAACCAGGACATTGGCCTCTGCAGCATGGCTAGGTAGTTTATTCCGGAATCCCACAACCCTTTTGGGAGAAGAAGTGCCCTCACTTCTTGGTTTTCAATTCACTTCTGCTTAGTTTTCGTTTGTGTTCTCTTTTTCATGCTTCAGTGCTCATTCTGAAAAGTCTGGTGGGTGGACTTTGTCAAAGCCTTTTGAAGACTTTGTATTAGATCCCATCTTAATCTTCTTTGTTCAGGACAAAAAAGGCTCACTTCTTTCAAACTGTCACTGTAATACATTCTCTTAACCCCCAGAATATATCTGTTTTCCCTCCTCTGGACTGATTCCAGAACAGCAATATGTTTTCTATAACATTGTGACCAAGATTGCATGATTTCTCTAAATTACATCATTCTAAATATGTTATACCATTTTAACATGACATAATTTGATTTAAATGTCATGATTTCAACTAGATATCTTAGCATTTTAATTGTCTTTTTATGTACTTCCCTCTTTACTTAGAGGAAGTCTAGAATATCTCAATCTTTGTGAATTTCATTTACTGCTTCTAGCATGTTTGCTCATTCTCCTAATTTGGTATAATCTGCAAACGTGATTAGGTCATTGACTATACCAGAATCTTAATCATTGATATCAATTAAAATGAGTTTTTTGGAGCCATCTGTTGGTGAGAAAACGAGGATTTCCGGACAAAGAGTTAAAATTAAAAGCGCACCCTGAAAAAACAGATCATGTATCTTCTTCTATTATTATTGTTGTTTTTGTTTTTGTTGTTTTGGTATATTAATATATCATATAACAACTTCGATAAAGGCTGGCGTCTATGTCACAGGTAAATCGAAATGTCCCTAACATATGGTTAACTAAAAGAGTAAAAGGGGCTAGAATTTATATTTTACATGTATTATTTTTTAAAAAATAACAGCGGAAATAATACATGATGTAAACATCAATACAGACGAGTACATCTTACAAAATACAATTAATCTTATATGATGTGTAGATCATATGTAATATAAAACTAAGTATAAGTAATCAAATACAAAAGAAAATGTCTACAAAGTAATTAAAATTACACAGTCATTATAATTATCAATATTCTAGGTAAACAAAGGCATAGCTGTAGGATGATTTAATCAATACTAAAATCTAAAATGAGGCAATGTCTTAAAATATATCAAATGTTTTAATTCGATTCTTTGGTCATATTGCCTAGTGCTTCATCAGTGTGCCTTAAATTGTCAGTAATGTTTCTGGCTATGGTTTCCCCTCTCCACATAGATTTTTACTTCTGTTCACAAATCACAAATAAATTTGATTTGTACTATTTTTTTCTTTGTTTTGGTTGCATGATTTTTTAAATTAATTTTGTCGGAGGTTTTGTATTATGTTGAACGGCATTTGGCAGTTTTTTACCGTTTAGATGACACAAGGTGGTGCTATTCTACGTTTATTTTAGATTTGTCCTATTTACAGTACATCCATGTTTTTAGAGTAACTTGTCTTTATCCTCATTGACACATCTTCATTGTTTATAGAATTTATTTTCTTTTGAAGGCAAACTCCATTAGAATTTGTGCCTCTGATAGACATATTGTTAAATGTTTTGAATAATAGGGTGTACTGTACTATATCCTACTCATATTGACTTATCCGATTTGACCAAGTTGTTTGCTATACTCCTTACATAAAATAAAGGAAAAAAATATATATGTGTCATTCCATAAGGCATTATGGAAACCTTTGATATTCTTTATAACATCGTCTTATAAATTTAGGATAATGGGAGAAAAATATTAACATAAAATGTATCTCAAAATGCTATCAGGACTCAGATATACAAGCATTCAGCCCCCGCTCCATTAAATCATAATCTAGAGTCTAAAACATAGAATTGCAGTTGTGAACCTGATATCTATTCATTATTAAAGTACACCTAAGAGGTGAAAGAGAAATATACAAGACATACCTTTATTAGAACTATATGTAGTCCCAGGCTAACTGCTTTCATCTGATGTTTTTAAGTATGTAAAGTCAGCATCCATTGAACTTTTAAAATGCAATAATGGCAATTTTAGAGAAAATATTGAAAACATTTTTCTTAATTCAATTGCATTGAATTATTCCGTTGTATCCCAATGCATCGGAGTCCATATTTTCGGTGTGTTTTAGTTTATGAACTGAACACGTTTGTTAACTATCAGCAGATGAGCAAAGCAAAACAGAAAACAATTAGAATAATGAACGTGTGTATTAGCAAATTAAATACCAGAAAACGCACTTAATTCGAATACGGAAAGTGAACTCCCTACCATATGATCAGACACTGGGTTTTCTAAGACAATAGAAACCTGAAGGTACTGTACCTGTAACATTCAACAGAACCGCCCAGTCTGTAATGGGGTTTGCCCTGACTAATCCCTATGAAATATCTTGGTTTTGACCATGTTTTCTGTCCTGAACCATTTAAAGATATCATTTTAAAAAGACGTGACCTTTTACAGTATATATATCTTATTTCCATTCACAGTCTTTGACGCTGGAGTTTGCAGAAGTAACTGACATTTTAACAAGCATGGGATTGTATAAATTGTTGTTGCGAGGAATGTTTCCTGATTCATTTAATTACTTCAGAAAATGAAACATTTTAAGATCCATTTATTAATTTATTTAACCCAGTCAGACTTTAATCAAAGTCATAGGACAAATTCAGCTAAGAAAGGTTGCCCTATATCTACTTGCATGAAACAACTCCACATAAACTGATTGACTACAAAGCATAATCCCAGAGCCCGAAATAAAACGATGTTTTCTACATCGATTGGCATTACTATTAATGATTATCGCAACAGTGTCCCTAACAAAACTAAAGTAGCTGAGTCCTTATATTTGCACGTTCACGTTTTATGGATTTGCATGCTACAGTACCTCCACAGTTGTTCTATGTGGAAGGCGTGGTTTGGTGACGCATTGCGGATCAAGAGAACCTGAAGCTCCAGTCTGGGACTGAACAAACTAGCCTAGTTGCAGGAATAGAGGAGACCGGGTCTTTCCGTGAACAGCCATGTCATTGAAATAAGCAAATGATGGGATTCAGTTTTATCCACCATGTAACTGAATTGTAGTCGATTAAAGCATCGGAAACTATTGGAGACGAATTTATTGCTAGAAAAATGGCTGAGAAGCGGAGGTGAAGCGTTGCTGGTGCTGTGGAGCGGCGCGGCAGCTGGCCGATCAAAATCTGCAGAGACCTTTTGATCCCTGTTTATAATTTGTCTTGTCCATTAATAACGACGGCTTGATAGAAGCATGTCTGGTGCACAGGACGAAAGCTCTGTTCGTGTGGCTCTGAGGTATGTTATGCTCGGGCTTCTGTATAATTTTGCTTTTGCGAAGTGATGCGCTTCAGCGAAAATGAGTAGTTCAATCTGAGAAGTACCTGCTAGCGAGTGTTAGGCAGCGGCAGTGCTCCTATTGGTTTTTAATTTCGGGGCCTGGAGTTAAATGTTTACAGCATTCACAGGTAGCTACTGTGGGCTACGATATGAATGCATTTAATCATCGCGTGTCACAGATTTAGTGGAGTGTGTGAAAGGCTGAAATTGTAGAAAAGACGCAAGCAACATAGAAGCCCTTTTCCCCTTTTTTTCTATGGCATCTTGTTCTTCCATTCAGTTGATTCTTGTAAATACCAGTTAAATGAAGGTTAGTTGGGGGTACTGTGAATTTTAAATCGATAGTTTTTTTTTTTGTTGGTAACAGTAAATAGCAAACGTCTGGGAAAGGTCGATCCTCGTAAATGGCAGCGTGTGACAATTTATGGCAATATGATGAGGTTGCAGCGTCATGCTCCATGGAGTGTCAGTTGCAAAATTAACGTATGGTCGGTGCTTGCATTGTTCATGTTTTTTTGTTCTCACAGAGCCAGAGAGGATAATGATAGCTAGATTCATTCCTAGGTTCTAGGATCAAGGTTAGAGACTGTTTTGCTGATTTATTTCAAAGGCGTGTGCAACGGGTGTTTGGGCTTTCTTCCAGGCTGGATGGAAGAAGGACAGCAAATCAATGAAAAAAGAGCTTTATTGACATTTTGAATGTCAGGGACAGTCAGCCATGATGTACAGTGTTAGACGCTGCAGATGTAATTAAACACAGGCTTCTTTGTTCATTTACTGTCGACAGTGTTAACATTAAACAGTTACAGACATTAGATTGGGTGGTCCCGTTTTGTCACTATCAAAGAAAACAGTGGATTTAGTGTAATGAAAAATATGAATGTACCAAATTGCTGTAGTTCTATTTTCCCTTTTCGTCTGTTTTGCATTTGCATTATTTTATTATTGCACATCTCTATCTTTAAACAGGCTTAATACATTCAATAATGAAGGTTTAATAAATGTTCAGTAAGTTGCCATGTGTGTTTTTCAGCATTGATGCTGCTGTACAAGACAGGGCCTAACGCTCCCTATATGTATTATTTGGAGAAACCAATATTTATTATCTTAAAAGGCGGGCCTAATTCGTAGTTTTAGATTAATAAGAATTATTATGTAACAAAATACACCCAAATTTCACGTGAATTTGCATTCATTTTTTTGGGCGGGGGGGGGATACATTTACCAGAGGGTCTGGAAAACACATGTACAGTACCTTTACCTCAATGATTATATAAGACCATAGTAATTTTACATTTCTTTTTTTTTGTCGTTTTTTTAACAGAATTGATTTCCAGTAGTCCCAGCATAGCCCTTGTTCTTTACCCCTACAGTACAAGTCATACTTTAAAACATTAAACACTTAGCAGGATTAGTGCTTTTTAATTTTTAACCATAGTTTTTAGAAGTAACGATAAGTTGTTAAAATGTAAAATTGCAGCGATTTCTATGGGTACTTTGTAATCTAGTTTAATCAAAGTAGTTTGTTAAAATACTGTATTGTGTTGATAAACATTTAAAACAAAGTAAAGGTAGGCCAGTTTTTACATTTGAAGATACAGTATGTGCAATGTCTATTTTGGCTAGTGCCAGTACAAAAACAGCAACCTTTATTGTGCAGAAAACTAGAATTGTGCATTAGAGTTCATAAGGATTTGATTATGGTATTTTGTGAGTTCGTGGACTGTTTCATTTTTATACAAGTCCTGAGTTTAATGGTTAAGTTTTTCGCTCTTGCTTGATGTTAGCATTCCATAATTACAGACTACGAAATAATGTATAAGTAATGTAATGTGCTGTACCATGCCTACATTTGTAATTATAATACACCTTACAGAGCTCCAAATCTTTATGGGAGGAGGAATCTGTGGTATAATTACATTTTTGTCTAGGTTGTTTCTTAAACATGAAATATTTACATTTGTGTTATGTCCCATTAGTACTTTTCTAAGAACATATGTTTCATATGTGTAGTAGGTCTGCATATGTACAGTATATACAAAATGCCTCTCCCTGGCTTGAAACTTGAAGAGTGTTGTATTACAAACCTATAATCTTATACTGAAAGAAGAATGTCTTTAGGCACATGACATTCAGTTAATAAATTGGGGGGTGAGCTTTGTCTAAACAGTCTTGTCATGGTTTCCTTTTATTTTAATCCTTAAGTAGACATTCATTTGTTAAGACATCTCAAATGTACCGCCTGTCTAATCCGCCCTGTAGGGTGCTGATTACATCAATGGCTAGGTTAGGGTGTCTTCAGTTGTAGACAATGAAGCAGCCATTTTAGTCATCATGAATGGAATAATGGTCTCATTAGTAAACAGATTTACAAAAGAAATACTGTCTTGCATTTAAAAAAACCTGCAATCTGTGTTCTAGTTTGCACATATCCTGTTTTGAGTGTGATGTCCTTACTGCATGACTACAGTGTTTTTGCACTGACCTTGATTTCACTTTGTTTATAGTCCCAGGCTGACCCAACATTGTAAAATGATTTGTTTAGCCCTGAAGTTGAAGGTTGGTGAAAAAGTCTTGAAAGGACAAAAGATATGCAGTCATTGTTTAAATTCATAATTTGTAAATTACCTTAATATACTTCACCAGACTTTGGGATGTAATCTATATCTAAAACATAATATAAAATACCTTTTTTGTTATTTTTGTGATCAGTTATTTATTTTTGTGTTGAAGTGACACAAAACAAAATCAATAATGGGTGTGATGTAGCAATTACAGTTCTCCTAAAAACTCATGTATTGCCATAAAAAAGTGAAGTACGGTGATGAATTTGATAGCACTTTAAATGTGTCAGTCTCTGTTTCCCCTCCTCAGCCTCATGGACCGGAATGGACCTGAGCACTGGATAGAACCCTAGAGATACAGGGGATTGAAAACAGCAGCTGCCAACACAAACAGATCTTTTTTTTTTCATGTGTTAGGCCCACCACCAAACTAATTTCTGTAGCACAGATAAACCAGATGAGTCTAAATTCAATAACCGAGTCAGGAAAAGGAAGGGGTACACCTTTAAATCACTGTGACTAGTTTGGACAAACCCATTACTTAAGCACATTCTGGGCATTTAAACAGCTGTATGAAAAGAATTGTACCTGTTGCTTTTTGGGGGTGCAGAGTACTCTTTGCAGAAACAAGTCACTTTAAACATTGTTTCTGATATGTTGAGTAAGTTCCGTGAATAAAACTAAAATTAATCAAATTCAGTTTCTCAAAAACCCGGACCATTAGTTGAATTTTTCCAAACAGAAAAAAAACAACACATTTCTGCAAGAGATGTCGCTTCCTTGCATAATGCTTACCATTTCTATAGCAACATACAAAGAAAGTACAAAATTGCTAATTCCACCCTCGTGTTTTTTTTTTCACAGACAGAAAAAAATAATTAGTCTAATGATGATAATATCCAGATAGCAAAAGTTATCTGGTGAACACCCATATTAGGCACTGTGTCAAACTGATGTTGCCAAATAAAGTGTTAAAAATGCTAATATGTTTTACCAGGAAGTGCTTGACACTTAAAATCACTTAAAATGTATCTAAGATTTTTTTTAAGGATGTTACTATATCTTGATATTATGTTTAATTGTGGATGGTTAAAGAAATTAGCTATTGAACGACTCACTCCATAGGATTTCAGTTAAAAAAAGATAATTTTAACTAATTTGTTTTGAATTTGACAAAAAGCTACATATCTTTTGCCACGGGAGAAGTGGTTAGATTGTGTTTTTATGTTTGCTTATTAGTATATAATGACTATAATGCAAATAATTAATTTAAAAACTTACTCTAAATGTATTGTATGGACTACCCTTGGAAAATGTGTGCACCTGCTCTCACACCAAGTTTAGGAGGTAGAACACCTCTAACAACCACCAATTTTATTAAATTCTACTCTCCAGTCCCTTATTTCATGTTTAAATTTTCTCCAAATGCTTTGGGATTTGCCACAAGACACTGAAGGTATGTTCAATATGTGCACAAATGGCATCCACATCTAGCAACTTTATTGCTGCTTCCAGCTTTGTTGTGATTCATTTGCTGGACATGTTGGACACTTGTCTTGTGGCTTGCTGAGAGCAAGACACTGTTCAGTCAACACAGCATTCTTATTACTGTCAACCAACTTTGCTGGTTTTCTATTTAAAATTGAAGAAACAATCACAGTTGAACAGGACTCTCTGCTCTTTGACATATGAGAAGATTTGCCACAACTGTGTGTGCTAGGGTCTGGTGACTTGGGTTGGTGGTGACAACATGAGATAGAGATGACTTTCTTGCACCATGGAGACCTTTGAGATAATTTAACTTCCCTAGTCATCTTGATCGAATCATTGTAGATCTGGGAGAACAGTTGAGCCAAACACAGCAGCTTTAGAAGTTCTCAGTCCGTAGGTTTAACAGTATTTAACAGTATTTAACTTTAACTACAAAAAGACTGAAAGAAAAACTTAAAAATGATATCCCACAGAGGTGAGTGCTGACCTCTGTACTAACCTCTACACCACCGAACAGCACAAAATGCAAATGCTTATAAATGGCAAATCTCCACGCCATCACATTTTGAGGCAAACGGAGGCAAACAAACTACCCCCTGTCAGATGTAATAGAACTCTCTTACCATTATCCAGAACTATAATCTAGCTGGGGGCAGAGCAGAACAGAACCCTCAGATTCAGTTATATATTACTGGTGTACAGTAGGTGGCTGTGGAGTTAGTGTGGTCTCTATTGACCAGGGGCTTCAGTATTCCTAGTTCTGACACTCCAGTAGAGAACAGCTTGGCCCAGCAATGGGCACATAACAAATGTGGATACAGATCTGAACTCTGCTCTCAGCCTGATAAGTGGAAATCTACATCTAACACCATCCTAAAGTATGTCCATTCTGTCTAGTTTTCC